GATGAACCTTTGGGTTCCATAAAATGCTGGGAAATTCTTGAGTAGCTGCAGAATTGGCGGTTCCTCAAGAAGGGCTCAGCTCCATGAGTAAGTAAGTAAGTATGTATATGACTGTACCACATGTATGATTTTTATGTTAACTATTATTCTTATTTCATTGTATTTTATTGATAATTTTAACCAAGGTCCGGTCTAAGTTTTGTCTAGATTGTGAATCGAACAGAACCTAATTTATATGAACCATTTAGACAAATGGGAATGTTGGCATTTCAGTTCAGTAATAGTATGTGAGAAACTTGCAGCACCTGAAGATGACCCATTTGAGGTAAAAACACATAGTGCATGCTATATAAATAAATAAATAATAAAGTATTGTTGTGTTGATGGTAAAAATTATACATAAGTTCTTGATATGATTATAAACATGTAATTCTAATTTAACGAACTACCAAGTTTAAGGTTTAATTTATAATATTTTGTGTATTTTCAACTTTCAGGATTTAGCCATATCACATACTAAGGCAATTCCACTGTTAAAATGTTCCAGTGAATATTACAGTCCCCGATATCAGAGTGAATGTGGCAACAATAATATGCACAGAAATTGGAACAGCTTCAACATGCAAAGTGGCTAATCCCCAACAGTCAGATTTATGCAGGATGAAAAATCCTAAGGACCTGAAACATTTGACTTAAAAACACCACCGATAACTACAACAAAGGTGGCATTATGTCACATTATTACAACTAATTCACTATATGGCATATGGTTTCCTTGAAGAGTCAGTAATTCTGTTGTTATAGAATTTAATGGTCTATCATGGTAAAAACAGTATCCTGCCATTAAATAGGAATCCGTCAGAGCCACTTCATTCCAATTCAAGTCCATTTAACACATTTCCACACGATACGTTTTAATACTATCTTCCTATTTACGCCTGTTTCCCGGTTTACATGTTTCTTAACACATCAATATAATTAAATGAAATAGTGAAACAATCTCAGGCATCTACGTTCCACTCATATTTATATCGTGCTCTTACACTGTTGTCTACTGAGAACGTTTCTAAATTCTGAAGAAACTTTGCAATAAAACGCAGAAGAAATCACACAAAAATGAGGACAAAATGACAGTATCAACAGTTTAAGGAATATGAGAACATGCTGCAACAACTTCATATTAAAAATACATAATGTTAAGACAAGGATGGCCCCACATAAATAAATAAGTAAAAATGTAATTAAAGTTACCGGCACATAAAACATTTAAAAAAATATGCATTAAATCAAACTTAAGATTCTTCTGAACCAACCAATATTTGGATTACAGAAGAAATACAGGCAGAAGCTTCTTCAATTAGGTTTACGGTATATACGTTATAAATTAAAACTTCTATTAAACTTCAAGACAAGCAAATCCATCAAGTATGTTCCTCCCACAGCAAGTATTGATCTTACGATATATGCACATTTTTAATTTGCTGTGCTTCATAACGGCTCTGTAACATCCAATACATAACTATGAGAGTTATGCCAGCATCACGTGAATTTACTACATTCTACTGCATTACACTTAGCAGAGGGTTAAAGATTCATATTAACAGTCACTGATACTGGCAGTGTAATGATCATAAATTATGCATAATTTGGAAGGAAGCATTTCTAACCTATATTAACAGAGTACTTTAACATAAGAAGAAACTGTGATGGTTTAAAACCATTTAATTAAAGTAAAATTAATTGCTACATCACAGCCTTTGTCAGATTCCAGAAAAAGAAATTATTTCTTAAAATATGACTGAAACCAAGGAAAATGAGTATAAACCATATATGCTATAAAACGGGCTGCTCAGTGTATAAAACAATCATTCTACTTCTGTGTGGTTATGCTTCAGCAGTGTATCAAAGAGCTCCAAACAGAATATTAGCATCTGTGACTTTTCGTTCGAAAATATTAAGTAGGTAACATTCATAGACAATCAATATAGAATTCATTCTAAGTGAATATTTTCATAAATATAACTGGAAACTGGATTCACATTTTAAAGTAACAAAAAAAATTGGTAAATCTGTACAACCATAATGCATAAGCTTTTAACAGATGACCAATTCCTCAGTGAACATGAATTCATTGGTAACAAAATTCATTCTTGGAAAAAAATATATTTAAAGATGTTGACTTAATACAATTTTTTCCTGTCTGTCAGACTTCTAAATGAATAGCTTACCTACCTCCTCAAATATTTGCAGCATACTATAAAACCAGTATGCATTACCACTTCACCTTCATGTCTCAACTACCTGAAATTCAGCACGAGATTCCCCATTCATTATGATAACAAAATAATTGTGAAAATTAAAATTTTCTGTACCTCTGCTAAAATTACAGAAACAAAAAGCACAGTTTAACATAATATTAATCTTGTGAGTTATGACACAATATACTCTGACAGGTTACAGAGGCCTACCAGACTACACACGCTTTTATCCCGAACGTGGAGGCAAGTCAGTTACTTTGCAACATTAGTACTCACCCAGACTACATGACATCATAATCCAGAACACCATAACATGAATCTTCACCACTGTGAAAATTTCCAATTTCATACAATTCTAGCTGCACACATCAATGTTTCTGGGGAAAATAGGGGATCACTTGATGAAGAGTTCACATTAGTAGTTTAAGTAGTGGTAAAAATATTAGAACACACTGTTATAACTATCTCCGACACATTCCATACAAGGGGCACAGTGCACTTTTTAATCTGATCAAGAGCCAGGTGCATTCCCGAGATGCACAGATCTTAATCATAATCATTAATAGGTTAATATTCATGAATACAACCTTCATGGAGATAAATGGGGAGGGTTAATCCATTAACAGTAATACCAAATGTAATCGCAACCAGCACTAATCATAACAGATCATATCCACCACAATTTCCTGTTCTCATTCACAAAAATAAAATGCATGAAACATGGAAACTGTAACTACAGAGCTCTGTCAACCCATGTCAGTCCATAATAATGTTCTTCTGATTCATAAATGATACTGCTGTTAAGAATGAAATACTACTACTCCACGGCCTGCAGTCCACAACCGAGCTGGGGTAGCCATTACCTATTCATGACATTACAAATAAACACAAGGCATAAAGTATAAAAAGATATCAAGTAACAGTTTGCTGCTTGGAAGGAGCTCAAACAATTTCATGGAAGTTTAGAATGCAACTGGAAATGGTGCTACTAAATGAACAAAACTCAGAAACACTAAATGATGTAACAGCAGCAGGAAGCCATGTGTGTGTTGTGGTACTGAAAGCTTAAATCTACCATAAAGTGCAAGGACATTATCATCTGGAATACTGAGGACAATCAGCTAGGTGCTGGTTCGAACAATTTAAATAGATGGGCAGTGTCTTGCACGAAAAGACACTTTCTATTGATACTGACAGAATTAACACAGTTCACAAGCCTTTTCAGTACAGCCCAGATAATTGCATCATGACAGAAGAGAAATGTGTTTCCTTGGACAACTGTGCCAAAAATTTTCCAAAGTTGCTTGCAAGCACTGGAATCGGGCAATAGGCCACATCAGAAAGAATTTCCTTTGGTCTTGCTCAGATGTATTAAAAATAATATTAGTGTCCTGGACAATGTATATTTCAGTGGTGTCAAACCTTTCATTTGCCTCATAAACAGATACAATTACACCACCTGTCCTTCTGAAAAATTACATGTGGTCCATGAATATGAATGTTCCATCCCCAAATGAAATGTCTGGTATGCCTTTTCCTGCCTTATTCTCTACAAGGTGCACTATAAACTGAGCATTTCCTTCAAACACAGCATACTGTTTCTTTGAGCTCTCTTGCTCTTTCTGCTTTATGTCAATTTGTGATGGGGTGAATTACTTATAGCTATCTTCCCACATATATTATGGGGGCATGTGGTAGTGTAGTTGGTTAAAGCACTACACTACAAGCCAGAAAGTCATGGGTTCGATTCCTGATGATGTCACTGGATTTCTCAATTTACCTAATCCTTCCAGCCATACTATGGACCTGGAGTTGACTCAGCCTCTAACAGATATGAGTACCAGGAATCTTCCTGGGGGTTAAAGAGCAGCCGACACATAAGGCTGACAACCTCACCACCACCTGTGAACCAATTATCTAGAAAATGTCGGAGCCTCGACATCTCACAACTCTATGGGCCTCCACGGACTGTTACGGGGATAGTTTTACCTTTTTACCATGTATATTAATAATGATTTATGCAAAGTAACCTCTCTGAGCAAACTGCAGAAGAATTTGGATTAACTTACTGCAGAACTCAACCTCACGAGACTCTCAGTGTTACAGAAAGATAGAGCGTTCAAGGTCTTGTACTGTGTTTAAGATGACGAATATTTATAAGCAGGCAAAAATTATCTTGGGAGCTATAACAAAATATTTCACCATTCTGATAAGTGCTATCAAGATTACCAGGTTCTCAAAAGGTATGTGACAACAGCTGATTGTACAAACACTGTATCTGTGACCTAAAGTTTCACTACACAACTGCAGAGTTAACAGAATGAACAATCTTTTATTTTGACTTATTTTGTACTCTAACTCCCTTTAAAGAAGGGTATAAATTACATGCACCACATGCATGTAAAATAAAAACCTTTGCATTCTTCCCACAGAGTACACTGTTGGGCTTCACATGATTCTCGAAACATAGTGATTGTTTCCTACATCCTTTAACCCGTTGCCGTGGTTCGTCGTGTATGTTTCGTCAGGGATTTAAATCGTCTGGGGGGGTTCGACGTGTATGTTTCGTCCAGCTGCACACGTATGTTATAACGCCCATAATAATTGATGGTTTTGCTGTAGATTGTTAGATTTTTCACTGGCCTGTTGTCAGGAGGACTGTATTTAATGACACACGCGTTTAAGAGCGCTAAGTCGTCGTTACATATGCCTGTCTTGCAGCAACGTTCCTGTGGNAGACTGAAATTGAGAGGCAGAAACTCAAATTTTAAATATTACTTATATGAATGCTGTGATTTAAAGGTTTAAATAATAATAATAAGAGGAAAGGGTTGATTAAACTGCAAAATATGGTTTGGGTCTCCCAGCGTGTAAATTTCAGGATGGTTTTCAATTATAACTGTTCATCCCTAATTCAGTTATAACCTAACCTATACTTAGCATACATTACTGCACTCTTACCATGAAAATATTACCAGTAATGTGCATTATATTATACAGTACGATCAATTTAGAACCTCCTGCAAGCTGTTGAGGTGCACCAGCAAAAAGAGTCTGTTTGCCCCATTCAGCAGGGCTATAAAAATTTGGACCACCAACAGAATTAACAAGCTAATAGCCAGGCAATTACAAACAAATTACAAACGAAACTCACCCAGACTACCACAGAGGCTAGAAACGCTGTTATGTGTGCATCACTGGTGGGACCTTTGTGAAGAGTTTACAGTCACACACTGAAGCTATCATTTGAATATAACTTAAATTCAAAATCTGAAACCCCAGTTTCCTATGCAAGGTACCTGAGAGATTTTCCAGAATGATCAAATGTACCACTGACTTCATTCAGTTTTTCTCTCTCTCTCTCTTTTTTTTTGGTCCAGCAATGGATTCATCACAAAGCTCAAACATTCTCCTGACAACAATAAGAGAGAGCATTACCTGCATCTGCTATGATCTGGTTAGTTTTATTTGCCTATGGACTCATTAATTCTGCTAGAAGTCCAGGATTCCATGACCCCTACAGGCAGGAGCACCAGGTTCTTTCACAAACAGTTGCACAATTCTATGATCACATGGTAGAAGTAAGCTACTGTCTACTGATTCACATAATTTTGTATGGCAATGTAATTAAACTGATCTGTAAATTATGACTGCACACACATAGAAGAACATTTTTAAGTAAGATATTTGAAGGAATTTCTGTATTCACCCAGTAACAAATACAGTTAACATACTGCAAGCTGACTGCAGTCATATTGCACCTCATGATATGGTTGACTGACGACACACTAACTTCCACTTCTCTGGTGATCTATAACAATTCCTATCACTGCAAGTGTAATTATATCAGCGTGACATCACATGCAACACAAATGGAATTACACATCAACCAGATATTCAAACAGTTGTTCAGCTCTCACACAATAACACAGCTGCCCAAGTATAACTAAACAAACAAAAGCAGCATATAAATGCACACACTCTATCACAAAGAATATCAAACTTTTGTAGTTTCTGTGTTGCTTCCACTCTCATTTTGTTTGCTGTAAAAAGAAAGCACATTATCAAAAACCACCGAAGCTGATGTCCATTCGATCCTGCTTTATTCGATCGAGCATATGATTTGGAAGATAGCTGGGCTGTGGATAGGTGCTGTTTGAGTAAGGAGACGTGTAAGGGTAATTGGGACTAGGCATATGAAGACTATGTGCTGGTGTGTAAGGAAAACCACCTCCAGGTGTGCTGCTGTAAGACGAGGCCCCATGAGAGTACTGGCCATATGGGTAAGGGAGGGAATTCATACTTCCCATTGGATTCGTCAGGCTGACAGGAGAAGTGAGGGATCCCATAGAACTTCCCATACCACATGCCCGTTCCATGATCCCGCCACTCATGCCACTCCCAAACATCGCATTCGTTCCCGCCATCATATGACTACCCATGGGATGGGAAGCGCCCATCAGATTTGAGTAAGAGTTCACATTGGAGTTCATAGAAGCGTAATTGGAAGCTAGACTACTGACTGAGAAAGAGCTCGACACCTGACCTCCAACATCATGGTTTATAGATGCACTGCTGTTTGCCAGTGAGGTGACAGAGAAGTTCATACTAGCACTGCTGTGATGTAAACTGTAACTGTTGGAGGTGCTGACCGAGTAATTTGTACTTGAACTGGTGAAATGTGGACTGTAGCTATTTGGATTGCTACTGCTTGAGCCATTGTACTGAGAACCACTCGGATAACCTGACAGATATGAATCATCATTAAACTGGCCATGATGTGCGGGGCCAGAGTCAAAATGTTCCTCACCATTGCTGTTACTTCCTGTTCCATGATGCTGAGTCTCTCCATCTGCAATACTAGGTATCTGATCCACTAAAGATTCCAATCCCGACAAGCTTTTGGAGGAAACATCTTGATTTATATTACGCTTGGTATTGTATTCTGGAGTGGAGCCTTGGGAATAGCCTATGACAGAATGGTTTTCTGATTCCTGACGGAAATTACCATAATTCTGGTAAGTCATACTGGAGGCATCATTAGATGGCGCAGGACTCGAAAATCGGCATTCATTTGGATTTTGTGGGTTGTCCGTGCTGATCTCTTCCTTCCCAGCTCTTGAGGGATTCTGAGGACCGTCATTCGTTTCTTCTGGCATGCTCGTAGGGGGCTCAAAATCTGGAGGTCCAATGCTTGGAGAAGTGGGTGATGGAGAACCAAGGTTGTGTTCTGAAGATATGGCTGCACTGATCTCGGAAGACAGATCAGAATGAGTGAACGGCTGTGACGGTTGCGGTGAATGGTTATAGTGGTGAGACTGGATGGGAGACTGATGATAATTGGTTGCATCAGAAGGAGAATGAGACTGATTCTGAGGATATGACTGTGGCAATGATTGACTATTATAAGAAGATGATATAGTTTGTTGGCCAAAACTAATAGGTGACTGAATTGGTGGTGAGAAACAATTTGGTATAGATGAAGTGGACTTCGTTTGGTCCGCAAGACCATTAGAATTAACCATCAAATCATCTGTCTTTATTTTCTTGGGCCGACCTCTTTTCTTCTTTGGTGTACCACAAACATCGTGTTCTTTTCTTAACATTTCATTGCCCGACTTCTTTACTTCTATGCAATCTGATTTTATCTTCTTTGGTCTTCCTCTTTTCTTCTTGGCTGGAGGTTGTTCATCCTTCTTCACTACTGCATTACTCAAGTCTGTGAGTTCACCATTTGATGGAAGACGACCATAACCATAAAATGCATGCTCTTCCTTCGGTTCCTCTTTCAGTTCTGGCTCAAAGTAATTCTTTAGTTTTGAATCTGTGAACACTACCTCCGTTTCATCAAGATCTGCAATAATTCCATTAAGGTAATCCCGAAACTTTTTTAAAGCTGCGTAAAATGGAACCTTGTCAGCTGCCCTTGGTAGCTGCGCACATCGGGCACTTGATGACGGCATCACCCACATATACTGCAATTGAAAGAAGTCATCTGAGTAGTGTCATCTTTTGTATGAAGTAACTTGAAGATAATTCTAAAACCGCACATAAATTTTGCATTCCATAAACATTACTCAATACTGTTTCAGGTAAAGGACAAAGCTGACTTAACAAGGGTTCATTTCAGCAAAATACTTTCCTTAGAAAACTTATACAATTAGCATTCATGTATTCCTAGTACAAGAGAACATAAACTTACTGTATTTGTGCCATCTACAAATTCAGGTTGCCTTCCGAAACTGAAGTCTTTCTTTCCCGAAAACACTTCAAAGATGAGTTTCCCATTAAACACCGCTATTTTTGGTTTATATTTCTGTAACTTCTCCAACAAGATTTGACTTCCTGTAAATTTCAATACACAGAAAGATATAAGGGAGAAGCGCTTTCAATATACATAATTAATCAGCTACTGAAATAAAATATGCATACCTTCTTTAATTTCTTTGCGTGTTAAATCAGCACTGCCCTTTGTGGCTCTTGCTACCATGTTTGTGAAACCTATACCAACTTGCAGTAGCTTGTAATCATCATCAGCTGTCATCGGCTCTGGAGTCAGACCCGATAAGTATAGACACTTCCCTATGGTAAACATTGAAAAGTAAAATTAATGTTCAATGAACCTTCATCTTTCACACAAATACTGCAAAGACAATTACTGACACCAACAAAAATGTATAAAAGTGATCCGCTGACTTTCAAGGTACTGCCTTTAACACTTAGTTTTATAAAATCACACAGATGGAAAAATACTGAACAAAAATTACTTGCGTCTTTTCAGGGAATGCCAATAAGAAAATCTGTGAAATCACTTACAGGAACATCCATGCTAGCTCACATCCCATTCCAACTTTCTTTTAAAAAAGTATTCAGTGATTTTAATAGAATCTATGACAAACACCTCACCTGGTGCAAACTGACAGGGCAAAAGAAGTTGTCACAGGTAAATGATAACTTCTACAAGAGTTACTATCTTTACAATCCCCAGTATTCATATTGCAGCCATGATATTTCACAGTTTAGCTTAATAGTCCACTTATTTTAATCCAAGGCCCAGAAGGTTAGTTACAAAAGAAAGTTATGCTTAAGATTTTCTTCATGCAAAAATGAATATCTGCCGACATAAAAAGGTTGCTAAATAGCCACATGAACATTAAAGCTTAAAAAAATATGTTTATGCTTGATGTGTACAACCATGGCAAGTAACTAATGGTTCTCATGGAGCAGACTTTCATGCCTAGAGTCACAGCATTTCCAATCTGAGTTACTGTCCTGGCAAGTTAGGTACAGACAACCCAATCCTTTTGTAACCACAGTGTTAACTTCTGTTGCTTAACACTTCTTACAGACTTGGGAACAATAAGCTCCATGTAACTAGTAGTTACTATAGGATTCTGACGATGGTGTATAACACACAGAGATATTGGGTTTTCAGACTTTATCCGTCGTCCTGGTTTTTAAGATAACTAAGAAAAACACGACGTTTCAGAAACTGGATTTGTTTCCGTCCTCAGGTGAGGGAAAACACCAATTCTGTTGGGTCCCTTAGAAGGAGCTAGCCTCAATCATTGGACAACCTTTGTGTTTTGTGACATCGGTTGTCCAGTGATTGAGGCTAGCTCTTTCTAAGGGACCCAACAGAATAGGTGTTTTCCCTCATCTGAGGACGGAAACAGATCCAGTTTCTGAAACGTCGTGTTCTTCTTAGTTATCTTAAAAACCAGGACGATGGATAAAGTTCGAAAACCCAATATCTCTCCATGTAACTAGCCCCATGCAGCAGAGCCCTTCTTGAAAACCCAACACACACCCAGCTGACTGAGAAATTCCACGCCCTTTCCAGAGCTCCCAGATCCACTACCATGTTCACCACCAGTGGCCCTTTCCTGGGCCATATGAATCTAGTCCACATCCTCAAATCTCATTTCTTTGAGATCTGTTTTAACATTATCCTCCAATTTATGCCTACATTTCTCACCCAAATGGCCTCTCCTCTTCAAAATTTCCATAAAAATTACTTAAACATTTCTCATTTCCTGCATGCATGCTACATCACACTTGGCATTCATTTCATAACCCTAATACTGGTGAAGAACACAAATTATGCACTTCTCTCCAGCCTCCTATTATTTTCTCTCTTTCAAGTTCAAATACTCTCCTCAGCACTCTGCACTCTAAAACGGTATTCTGTTTTTAAGCTGAGAACCCAAGTCTGACAATCATATAAAATAACAGGTAGAGATCCCATGCAAATCTGAAGAGTACTGCACTAGCAGTATGTCACTTTACATAAAAGAGAACATGTGAGATCTTAGGTTCTCACAGCAGTGACTATAAATATTACTGTCTACTGTAGATGCCATGTGGTTTGGTACACATCTACCAAACTATCATCTCACATCCCAGAAATCAATTTCCAAACACAAACATGTCCGCACATCAAAAAACTCTTAAGAGCACACAGATGTACAACTACAGATTTTATATATTAAATTATAAACACTTAAAAAGAAAGCTGGACTACATTATATATGTCTTTAATTGCAAACTTGGGGCTACGGGCTTTTCAAAGGCACTGTATCTACACTCTCTCCCATTTTCCATTCAGATTTCATTTCTTCAAAACAATCTCCATTCAGTTATAAGGTCCCTAATTTATGAAATCTGCAGCCATGTAAAAAAACACTGTAATAGGGTAATTTTCTTTCAACGTCACCTGACTACATTTGTGTTTTGTGACAAATATTATTAGCAGGTTCTGAAACAATGGCAGCACATGAGAGAAACTGGTGTCAAATGTGAAATTTGCCTTTTCCTAGGGTATGTAATAAAGTAACAAACTTCCATTTCGTCTCTCGTCTAATTATATGCTCACTGCATCCTATACAGATATCCTTCAAGTACAAACTGTGAAGCTCCTCATTATAAAATTTTTTCCAGACTTCAGTCATTTCCTCTCTCTCGGGTCCAAATGCCATAATATGTTCTCAGACACTGTCAATCTATGTTTTTCCTCTAGTGTGAGAGACCAAATTTCACACCCATACAAAACATGTAATATTACAGTTCTATATTTTAATCTTCATATTTTTAAACAGCAGACAGCAAGGCAAAATACTGTGAAATGAATGGTAGCAAGCACTGCTCTTAATATCTTTATGAATGCGATTTTTACTTCTATCATTCTTGCCACAGTTTAGAAGGCTCTATTAGCTAGCATTATACTCTGAGTCTGCCATGCATTCAGGTGACAGGATATGTTTATATGACCAATTTTCTCTGTGTTTACTTGTACATTAACCTAAGTTCAGAAATTAAAGAATCGCAACATATTAGATCACAGCTGCATACTTTGTCACTTTTTCTTTGCAACTGATACTCATACTGGAAAACTTGTCAAAATCTGCCAGTACAGCAGATATTTTGACCCTGGGGCTAAAATGAACTGTGACAGTACAAGCAAAAGCTTCTTTCTTTTAAAAAAATCCCTGTTCATATTTGTATTATGCCATCAACATGCACTATAATCTTTCTCTTGCTAATTTTATAGGGTGATTATGGTGAGAAAATCAAAGTATAATACAAGAATAATATCATTTCATGTTAGCCTTTACACAAAGCCAATTAACAACAACTGGGTATCTCAACAAATCATACTTCCAGAGGCCTACATTAATGAAACTCAAGTCATTCACATGTTACTACTATCCTATGATTTTACAGATGTCTTGCTGCCAAGTTCAACATGACATCATTATAACACTGTGGCTTTAAAGTAAGTTTAAAACACTGTATTGAACTAAGCAAGACATTTTCACTATATGTAGCACAGAAAATGAATGTATGGTCAACACTGCATTGTTATAAAATATACCCTTTATTTAGTAGCTGTGAATGCTATTAAGTATTAAAAAAACATAATAATATTTGTTGTTTTGAACACCTATGGAGTCAAATTACTATCCAATAAATGATATTATTTTTGTTGGCACTACTGATGAATGAAGATCATGCACTACTAAGTTCTTGGGAATGACTTATGTATCAGATCTCTACCACTTCTTTTGCTGATGCAGACAGTCAATTATTCTCATTAACATACGTAATGCATCACATTAATAAACAGCTGCAGTTAATAAAAATGTAAAATTGCATAGTTATCTCACAAATTTCTAAAACACTGTCACAAATTATGAAACAGAACACTGAGGTGATGTAATAATATACTGTTAATGCAAAGATGAGTTTTTCAGTGCATAGAAAATTTAATCAACATCAGTTTTCACATGAAAGTCATCAAATTATGGACAAAACTACAAACAGTACTTTCTGATGTACTCAACAAAAACAAGTCAATGTAGGTGATGAAGTCTTTAAAATAATATTTCACTTCTGAAAAGAAAACCAAAAATTGATTTGATCAGTTCTAAACACATAATCATATACAGGGATATAACATCCAGTAGTTGGTAATGTGACTGTAACCAGGCCCTCTGATGAAATAATTCATGGGCTTACTCTGTCACTACATTCTTACTGCCCGGAAAATCAATTATCAAGAACTTCAAAAGCATTACATTTATAACAAATTGCAGTTATAATGGTAGTGGGGAGAGGGAAAGAGAAGTATACAACCAATTCCTACATTCCTGACGAGAGGGGAAATACTACTAGTAGCTACAGCACAAACAGCATTTTTTGGTGCCTTATTTGAAATGTATTCAAATATCAGAATCTTGACCAGCATAACATTCACTTTGACTCCTTCCTGGGGAAATTTCCATATTTGTATATAAATCATCAAAATTTATCAGAATACTTTTTTTTTTGACAGGAAATTAATTTTGTTGCCATTTTAACAAAAATCTTCACACTCAAAGCCTAGTATATTATGTTTCTGTTCCATGAAAAGATGAAAAAAGTAAAGCTGTCCTGCTGCTTAATCAATTACACTATATCAGAGACATATAAGGGAGTGGAAGTATAGCTCCATTATTCTTGACTTGGCATTTGATGGAGGCGAGTGGCCAGCTTCAAGCCACGGCCGCTTTACCCCAGGGGAAAGAGCCCCCAATATCCATTGGACAGGCTGCTGGGTGGGCCCCAGAGCTGGTCTGGATGTTGTGGAGAAAAGAAAAATCTTACACCTGCTGGCATTCGAACCCCAACCATCCAGCCCATAGCTCCACCAACTGAGCTATTAAATTTAGGATTTTCTAGTATGACATGTTACACATAAAAAATATTAGAGCTTAGAAAAACACACCTACATTTGACAAAATTATCATTACGAAGATAGGACAACCTTCCACACAGAAGCATAAACATAAAAAAACATTTAAGAATTTTAGGGCATAATCACATGAAAACAATTCTGCATTATATGAAAACAATTTTCCATCAAAATAGCACGCACGCACGACCCCATAATTTTCTAATCATTATGCACCAGTACACATACCAGGAAACAACTGATGTATACTAGCAAACTTGCCAAAAACTCCACATCTACTAGTGAAAAGTATGTTTTTATTTTGAGGCTACCAATTTGAGAGTATCAACAAACATGCTTCTAAAGAACCATCTATGTTCATATATACAAAGACAGTTATGATGTTCAGGGAATAAAATATTTCAAGAATGCTCAAGAAGTTCTTGTTTAAAAAAGAAATCACTGATTTTCAGTGAGAGTTCTATTTTGTTAAATGCATATAAAGCAATGTCTTAAAAGAGAGTTGCATAAGCCTGCTTACATATACACTTTCTACATTGTGTAATGTATTGCCAAAAAGCAGTGCACTCTGGAAGCAGCCTGCATTTCAGTAAATCGTAAACAGAACCACACTGTAAAAGGAACTATCATAGCATACCACAAGGTAGTTCCACATGCAACCTCTCTCACTTCTATCACCATTTTATGTTTTCACAGTGATGTAAATTTAAAGCACAGAAAACAAATTTAGTGAATCTATTTTACTGTGCTTCCTTTTTGGCCATTCTATATGTAACTAAACAAAAATTGCTTTCGTTGACTGAAATAAATGTTTTCAATATCATAAATGACATCAGAATGCAATGGTGATTCCAGAAAGGAGGTAATTTGACTGCAGAAGTCTTGAGAAGCTGACAGCTTCTCAGACAATCAAGAAATTCCTCACCTTTTATGAAACCTGAAGGTTCATTACAGGTTCACAAGTGACAATCACCAGACCCTATCCTGAGCCAGATGAATCCAGTCCACAGCAGCATCATTCAGATCCCTCATCATATTAACCTTCCACTTATGCCTTTCAAGAGGTTCAGCTTTCCAACAAAAATGTGCAAACATTTTTCATCTTTCTTATGCATGCTGTGTGTCCTGCCCAACTAATATTCCTTGATATGCTCATCCTAATAAGAGTTAGTGAACATACAAAATACAGACCTCCTAATTGTACAATATTCATTACCATGTTCCTTCCACATTCTATGGTGCACTCTACCTGAAATCTCCTAACCATGGCTTCTGTCCACACTCCCAAGCTCTGAAGCTGAAATCTAATGAAAACTCCATGTGGCACATAATTGAGTACATCCTCTACTTCCTCAAAAAAGAGTTATGCACTCTGTATTATCCCTTTAATTCTAAGTTGGACCATCACAACAATGACCTCCTGGTATTACAGGTATATACAAAAATCAATCACTAAGAAACTTTCCTCTTTTAACTGCCAATGTAATTCCCATGATCTTTCATAACAAGCTTGTTTTTTATGGTGAGGAGCTGTTAGCCCCATACCCAACCCCAACCCTTTGTCAGCTGTTCGCGACTGCTTATGCAATATATTCACAGCCACCCTCCATACCTGGAGGGCATCTCCTCCACCCGCAACCTGAGTACACCCCATGCCGTGGTGACAAGGGACCCACCTAACATGGAGAAAACTGCATAATGGGGAGCTTCATAACTTGTACACTTCTCCAAATATAATTAGAATTATCCAGTCAAGGAGGATGAGATGGGCAGGGCATGTAGCATGAATGAAGAGGAGGAGGAATGCGTATAAGATATTGGTGGGAAAGCGGGAAGGAAAGAGACGACTGGGAAGACAAAGACGTAGGTGGGTGGACAATATTAAAATGGATCTTAAGAGAGATAGGATGGGATGGTATAGAGTGGATTGATCTGGCTCAGGATAGGGACAGGTGGAGGGCTCTTGTGAACATGGTAATGAACCTTTGGGTTCCATAAAATGGTGGGAAGTTCTTAAGTGGCTGCAAAATTGGCAGCTTTTCAAGAAGGGCTCAGCTCCATGAGTGAGTGAGTGTGATTCCCATAAATAAGAAAAATCCTGTTCCTAAGTGATGATTAGCATTCCCTATTCCATACAAAATATCCAAGTCTGCTGGTGTAGTCCCACTAAATGTAAATTATACTAGAAAGGAGATATCCTCCTTCTATTTCAATAAGCTTTGTTGTGGCACCAACAGAAGAAACAACACAAAAATAATATTCTGAGCTCTGTAACCAAATGAGAAGAGGACAGACTACAATGGAAACAGTCCCAACAAAACAGAAGCTTGAAAATATGTCCACAACATATCTTACCCTGACAGCTGTCAAAATTGTACCTTCATACAGTGGAACCCCTATTTAATGTCCCCCCATTTCAGATTTTCATTCATCTAATGTTCAACTTCACTAATCCAAAATCAATAATATCAGTGTCAATCTAAATTAGGTTAGTTTTCAGTACAGTATTTAAATTCACCGCTCTCCAAGGAAACATTAAATGAGGGTTTCCGTGTTCTCTTTCTGTTAGAGTTTATAAAAACTTTGGCTTTAAATCTTTGCCCCACCAACTTAATTTGACCTTTGCCCATCTTCAGCGCCATAATGACACAGAAAACTATGAACTGTCGAACATTAGCAAACCCTTAGCACACTGATATATGGTTGTATCACTACTAAAGCTAATATACAAAAAAGCTATGATGTACTAAAGATCCACAAGCACACATTTCACACATAAATCATATTTACACATTTACAGAAAAAAAAAAGAGTGCACTAGTATCTTAGTTTTTCATGCTCTATTACTGAAAACTTTACAGTAAAATAACATTTAAGAAAATTTACTCACTATAATCAGCTGCACCTTCAGGCTCTTAATTCCAAAATGTTACAAAATTAAAACTGAGGTACAATGTTAAAATATTAACAAACTTGAAAATAAATATAGTAAAAACTATCAAAATTCTTACAGAAGTGGTTGCCAGGTCCAGCATAGTGGTGGCCTTTATAGGCCGCAAACAGCCCAGGGTTGATTCCGATCTGTACCAAGGGAAAATGTTTAGTATCACTGTAATAAAAATGGATGACAACACTACACTCAGCTTACAAAGTAACGCTGTTCTCTGACCCTGGGAATAGTGCATTGCCTACCACATTAATTCAAACCAGATTTAACAGTTTTCACAATCTGCAAACATATCAAAGATGAGTCACCATGTTTCTCCAAAATGACAGTAAACTTCTTCTGGACCACAACAAATTACATCCAAGAAGACAGTTCTCCTCTTAAGTAAAGGTTCATATTATGCTATTGTTATTCGTATTTTGTTACGAGTAATTCTGAAGTGGCTATATCATAAGGAAAATAACACGATTTATACACTGAAATGTGAATTATGCACCCGGATTGCTCAATATACAGAAGCCTACAGAAATTTATTCGGGATAAGCCATTCCATTACGGATTCAAACTTTGGCCCACTGTGTCCTGAACAGTTAACTTTTGAATTTTCCTTACACTGTGCAAGGAATACATCAATTGAGGATGGTGAGACTCACCATCTTCCTTTGCAGTCCTGAGCTGTTCTGCATATGCTAAAATGTTTAGTAAACTGTGGAAATGAAACTGTATAATATTTTGACAATTTTTTTCCAGCAACAAGCACCTCCATGATCATATCTCTTGTGACTGGTTTGATGTAAAACATGCAACATCAGTCCATAATAAGAAAATGACTGAAAGGGTAGCTATTAATGCTTGGGTTATGTCTTGAATGATTCATGAAGACAGTTCCATGGACTTGCAAAGATTTTATAAATGTACAATGGTTCATTGTTTTAAAATGTTACCACCTGAAAAGAAATGAGATGCCCTACTTCTTGCTCTCCCATGGTAACACAATGTAATGCAGACATTTCTTGTGAAGATATTTTTAAGTACAGTCTGACTAACATTAATGTACTCAACAGATAAGGATCCTTCTTGAGAAGCCAACAGTCACTCGGCTGATCAAGAAATTCCCCACCTTTTACAGAACCTGAGAATTCATCACCACTCTCAAAAATGCCTTCCCCTGGCCCTGATCCTGAAGCAGAATAATCCAGTCCAGTCTTCTGCCCTATTTAAGATCCATTCTAATATCATCCCCCAAAGTACGCCTCAATATTCCACTGGATCTTCTTACTTCAGGTTTTCTATCTAAAATTCTGTAGGTATTTCTCATCTCTTTAATACGTAATACATGCCCCTCCCATTCCCCCATCCTTGATTTGATCTTAACATTATTTTGTGAAGAGAGTAACTGATACAGAAAGATTATCCTGCATAGAAATGGTGGGTAACAACAAACATTTCAGTTTCCTTTCTTTCTTTTTCATACAGGTTTTACAGTTCAGATGATAAAACTATTGCTAAAACATTTACAAACATCTTACTACATTCTGAACTCAACAATTTCCATATACTACTTCTACAAAATATGCAGGTGGGAGTAAATACAGCTGTGCACTTCCATTTCTTCCCTTTGACTCAGTATTCAGACAAATTATTTTGCAGTTCTGAGTACCCAGTAGCAAAGAATGGAAGTTCTCATATATTCATAAAACACACACTTTTGTTCATTAGCACATTTCCTCTCTGACTTATGCTTAGCGTAACAAACCATACAGCTACAAAATATGAAACACTCATTCTGAGGTATCATGTGCCAGATGTTTTGAAACTGCAATCCTTTTCCTAAACTGTACCTTGCTAAATTAAATATTCTTGTCCTTTATAATTTCATTTTGATGCACAGAACACAATAAACTAAACCTGATGCCTCCATTTTTTACCAACTCTATTGAATCCCTTTAATATTTCAATGTTCTCTCTACAGAGTAGCTGCTAATGTAAAGATCTGTTTTTACTTTTTCTTTTTCAACCCCCACCACATAATAGAAGGAAACCAACAATATTTATATTACAGTAAGCACTCCATTATCCAGTATATATGGGGAATGAGTTTTGCTGGGTAAATGAGAAAAACACAAAAACAAAGTAGAAAATCTAGAACAACATATTTTGATTTTAACTACTGCACAGAAATTTTCCTAGGTGACACAGTGAGTTGAAGGGTGAAAAATTTTGGACCAATATACTGCAACACAATCAAAGATTCAACTAGCCCCTACTATGATGGCACCTGCATGAAGGACGATTGTGGGTATTGCTGCTACTGGTGGCTGGTAGAAATACTGCATGGCAGATAAACACATGCATGTCACAAGATATGAGTTTACTGTATATTAAATTGGATATATACATTATACATCTGATACTATAACTACCCAGTAATGTACCTGCACAGTTTTTCTATGAAAATAAGTGAACAAAATCAAACCTGTAACCATATGAGTGACATCTGGGAGCAGATATCACCAAAAAATCACCTTTTTATCAGAAAACGAGTTGGCCATTAACTGATTCAAATACCATACAAAATATAAAATTTTCTCCAATATTAATTCCATATACATGCAATATAATTACAAATCTCAGTGCGGATTCTGAGATAACAGATCAGAAGTTCACATATTCTGTATTCATCAGATAATGGGGAAAGAATGAAAGTACAATGAAAAATACATCAGCTATTTATAGTCTTCAAGAATTCCTATAATTGAATCAGGACAGAAGCCCTGCATAGCATTCTCACTGATCCATGAAACTGATTAAGATAATTCAAATGTCTTTAAACGAATCCTACAGTAAAGCCTCCACAAGAAAACATCTGCATGGTGTACCTTCTACAGAACATGGTCTGAAACAAGGACACTAGGGACTGGAGTCCAATAGGAAACACTGGCTTCTTCCTTATACGGATGATGTTAACTGAGCTAAAATAAAAGCACCATAAAGAACAAATACAGAAGCTCTAACACAAGCCAGTAACAAGGTTAATCTATAGGCAAACACAGAGGAAAATGTGTTCTTATTTCATCATGAAATTTCATATTTTTGGAAACTATAGTATAAAAGCAAGTAAGTTGAATGAAGCACTAATGGTCGTGACTCATATTTTGGAGGCGCCTGGTTCAAATACTGGCCAGGATGCCGACTATACTGAGGTCCATAGTTTTCCTCAGTCCCTCCATGCAAATACTAGAATAGTACACTGATTAGGTGATCATAACTTTTATCCAATCCCATCCAATTTATTATTCAGTGTCTTCCAACCATTCGATGTTATACAGCCAGAGTTACTGACAGAATCATTTAATATACTAAAAATAAAATAAATAAGGGAATACCAAATTAAAATTACATTCACAAGAAAATCAACAGCACATTAAAGCTGAGGAATGCTTGCTACCATTCATGTCACAATATTCTGTCCTCCAACGAAAACTGTAAAGAGAAAATTATACACAACCATAATCTTACTTCTTATTTTGTATGGGCATGAAACTTTTCCCTTACTGTACCTAAGTGGGATAAAGTAACTAAAGACTTAAGAAAACTGCATATCAAGGAGCTTTATAATTTGCATTCTTCACCAGAGAAGTGAAGGATGAATTGGATGGTGCATGCAGCATGCAGGGAAAGATGAAAAATGCATACAAATTTTTAGTTTGAAAACATGAAGGAAAAATAATCATTTGGAAGACTTAGGCATGGGCGGAAGATTAATAAACCAAACAGAAAAAAAATTACAGTATCAGGACAAGAATTGGACTAATATGGCTAAGGACAGGGACCAGTGGCAGGCTCCTGTGAACACTGCAATGCGCCTTTGGGTTTCGAAGAAGCTGGGCAGTTTCTTGACTAGATGAGCAACTATTACCTTCTCAAGTGGGACTATGTTCCGCTGAGTCAGTTAGTTAGTTAGTTAAGGCAAAACACTGGTCTGCTTTTACCGGTTCTCACGGTCTCTTCGCTTGCGGATTTCTTATATTCTTTCCTTCTACCCTGAAGATGGAGGCGATACGTTCCTCCGAAACGTCGGTTAACACCACATATACACGGTGCCAAATCCCAGAAGACTGCTTTCTTCGTAGTCACCGCCGTGAAAGCCTCAAATCTTACATCATGAAATTAATTCATAAAATTACTTTCTCTGCGCAGACATGTTTCCCAGTGCGAGACCATCGAGAATTAAGAATCATCTTCCATTCAGGCAAATATGGTAGTACACTTTAGTGAACTGTGGAAAAGGTGGTACTTTTACAGTGAAGAAAAGTAGCCTATTAGAGAAAATTCTTGTTCTCATTTTAACTCTCAAAATGAAAATAGGAAGCATCCACAGTTTACCATTTGTACACGCAAGCACACCGATGAGAATATTTTACTAAAGTATTTTAAACTTTACTGAGAAAAGCATTGTACTTACAATGACTATGTCTAAATTCAGAGCTAAATGGTCTGGCAGAGTTCGTTTGGAAACTTCTTCTTCTGGCATTCCATTGAAGCGATCATGTTTCTTCCTCTCTTTAAATATTGGAATAAATTTATCGTCTTTCATCTTTTTCTTAGTAAAAATATCCCCGTTCAACAGATTTTCAGTATCCTCCAACCTGTTAACATAAAATACAAAACAAGGTTTACCAGTGCTGATAATTCGAATAGCACTAACATTGAAAAAAAAAACCTTTTACTTAGGACTCAAAGTAATGCTACAAGACAAAAAAAAAAGGCACTAACATTTACCATAATTTAAAACAAATTCCCAGACTATAGTTGTATAGAACCTCCATGCAAACAATCCAATACATGCTGCATTCTGATATTCCCTAAGCATTTTCTTCATGCGAACAAATTCCTTAATATTTCTGCAGTTCACAAAACTGTCTTAATACAAGACAAACTGCTGCAAAAGAAAGGCATTCATTCACATAAGAACCAACAGAAAAATTCCATACAGTCAGAAATTAGAACACGAAACAAAAATTCAATGAAATTCCATACAGTCAGAAATTAGAACATGAAACAAAAATTCAATTAACATATTAACACATTTAATGTCAAAAATGACCTAAGTTAACTCATCTGTTAACACTAATTCTGCCATCATCAACTTAAGCAAATTTTGCACATGACTCCATTTGATCTGAATAAAACTGTTACATTCCATGACCTATGGAGAGAGGTTCAATCCAATACATACCATCTCATCCTCTCTCTCTAAGATCCATTTTAATATTGTCCACCCACCTACACCTTGGTCTTCCCAGTGGCCTCTTTCCTTATGGCTTTCCCACCAATATCCTACATGGATTCTTCTTATCCCAATTAGTGCTACATGCCCTGCCCATCTCATCCTCCTTGGCATGATCATTCTAATTATACTTGGAGAAGAGTTCAAGTTAAGAAGCTCCTCGTTATGCAGTTTTCTCCAACCTCCCATCACTTCATCTCTCTTCTATCCAAATATTCTCAACACCCTGTTCTCAAACACCCTCAGTCTATGTTCCTCAATGTCAGAGACCAAGTTTCACACCCATACAGAACCAAAGGCGAAATTATAGTTTTGTATATTCTAATTTTTATGTTTTTAGACAGCAGTCTTAATTTCCTCCTGAATCAGGTTTTGATTTGTTGCAGATGTTCCCAAATAAGGAGATATGTCACACCATGCTTTATTCTGATGAGGTGCGGTTCACTTGAAGTGGTTACACAAACAGCCAAAATAACAGATATCAGAGTACAAAAATCAGTCATGCTTTTCACAAATTGCCACTGCACGATTTAGAAGTTGGGGTTTCGTGTGCAATGAGGATATATGGGCTCAGGTTATTACATGGCACAATAAATTCGGAACATTACATAAAACTGATCAGTCAGGTCTTCTTTGTTAAAGTAACTGAACAAGAAAGATCATATGGCCATTATACTGAAGATAATGCAATAGGACACACCGTGAACATTTCTACTGATACATCAACACAAGTCTTTATTGAAGAAGCTGTAAGTAGAGACTGTGGCCTCCATAACCAGATTTAAATCCCTGTGACTTTTATTTAATGTAAGTGAACAATCCTACGAGATGGGATAGTGCAGTCGCTACTGCGGCTGGCTAAAGGGGCTGGACGAATGAGGGGTTCAAGTCCCAGTAGGGTCAAGAATTTTCACTTCTCCACATCATCCAGACCAGGCCTGAGATCCACCCAACCTCCTATCCAATTGGTACCCCGGGTCTTTCCCCAGGGGTAAAGCAGCCGGGGCGTGAAGTTGACCACTCACCTCCAGCTAGTGCTGAGGTCAAGAAATTGTGGATCTATACAGCCACTCCCCCATGCGCCTTTATGGTGTAGTGCTTAATTAGTTAAGTATTGAGATAAATTCCCTTTTCTACAATCCTCACTCCTTTGGAGAAATGTCAAAAAACATTATGCACAAAATTTTCACTATTCCCATACAGTAGCTTTGACATTCTTACAAACATACTCTCAAGATGTGAGGCGTGCTTAAAAGTGATGATCATCATTTCAAGACTCTTCTACCGTGGTGTCACGTGTGAGAAAAGTTCTCTGTTGGCTGCAGGAATTAGTCTAAAAATAAACTGTACACCCTGTAGTACATTATTCACCTTGAAGTCTGGAGGTACAATGTTCAAGTACTAACCATGATGATGACCATTCCAAGTGGAAATTATCAGGACAAAATTACAACAAACACCAAACACAACTGCATTAATATATCTCACCCTTCTGGAGCGACTTTCTTCTTTCTGCCACGTTTCTTGGGTATGGCTTGCATAACAACAGTATGTCCTCTGGGTTGTGGCATAGGTGTTGGGTCATCATCCACAAAGCTGTATGGATCTTCCAGAGGCTCACATTTCACTCCCATATTACCAGCATTATGAAGATGATTTAATAACTTCTGTGTGTCTCCTTGAGGTCTGAGTTCTAGGTCCCCACTTGTTTCATACCCATCATCATGAGGTTCTTGCTTCATGGCACCCTCTGAAAACACTGACCTGCAAACATTAAACATCAGTGTAGCAGCCATCATATCCCTCCTTTCTCAGTCACTTCTGGGTCACAGATGATTAAATAACACTGTATTAACTAAAACTAGTCATGTTAAGTAGCAATGAATACAAAGTAGTGATGATTATGAACAGTGAATGAGAAAGAACAGGCCATGAAGGAGCCATATTTTTAAGGAACAGCCCAGAGTTCAATTGGAAAACAACCAAATACTTGTGGGATTTGAGATTCTCACAACAACTACAGACAGTATGGTTTACTGGGTTGTAATGCCATTCAGTTCAGATAAATACCGACATTTCTGAAGAACATATCACCTTCATCATCAGGGGCAAAGTGCAAGCCGAGCAAGAAATCAACAAGATGCAGGCTTGCTTCATGCTGGTCTCTTGCTGGACTTTCTTTGAACTACTCATACATAGCATCACAACCCAGAAGACTGTACTCTTCAATAAGCAATTCTTTCATTATAGCAAGCAATTTCACTGGCCACCTTATAAATATATACACACACAGACACACTGTGGCATTACGGCTTAACAGTGGAACAAAAAAATACATGACAACAGAGAAACCACGCAAAGGATGTCTTCTATGTGGTCCATGCTGAGGCTATATAAGGGGGATGAATGGTTAGTAGTCCAGAGTCACAGACAGCAAAATATGATCAGTCCAGTAGGGCTTGGAATGAAGAAAGACTGTGCTTGCGAAGGCCAGCAACAATTTACCAGATGAGACCAAACCAGTGCGTCATGAGGAGAGGGTAAAGTTTCATGACTCCAGTCATGAAACAGTAATGTAGGGACATGAGTCCCAGGAGACTCAGCACCAAGAATGACTGCTGGTGAGGACCAGCAACAATTTACCCAACTGACTGACCAACCACCATGTTGCAAGATACACAAACACTATTAAAACAAAAAACAATTTGGCCATGCATCCCAACAGGGCTCAAAACCAAGAACAGCTGTGCTAGTAAGGGTCAACAGCAATTTACTGGGCTGGGTTGACTGCATGAGTGAACAGCTACACAATACCCGAGTCACGAGACAGCAAAATATGGTCATGATTCCCGTGGGACTCAGAATTAAGAATGACTGTGCTAGCAAGAGCCAGCAGCACTTGCCACAAAGCTGCACAAAGGCAGGTACAAATGGTTTAACAAATATGGCACCTACTCAGAAAGACACGCCCTCCTCTCACCGAAAAAGAGACCCCATTTCCAAAAACATAATTAATTTTGGAATGAACAAAAATTTGGTAATGGGTCCCAATGGGACCCAGAACCAAGAAAGACTGTGCTGGTGAGAGCCATGGTCACTAGTCCCGCAGGACTCAGAACCCAGCATGACTGTGCTGGCTATAGCCAATGGCCAGCAACAATTTATCAGGCCAGACGAGACCACACCAGCAGTTCAGAGCTTTGAGCTGCATTGTTAGATGCCATTACCTAGCAATGACTAGTGAACACAAAGCAGACTGGGAAGACTTTAACACTTGTAGTAGCGATTTGCAGTGTGTGTATATTACTGAAAGTGTTAAAATTATTTGTAGTTACAAGTTACAAGCATTCAATAAATACAATTATCAATCCAAACCCTGTGTCTAGGCACTAACACATGACAATATATACACGTTTATGTGCGTCTATGTTTGTATGTTTACATAGATGTATTTTTTTCTTTAGTCATAGGAGTGAGAAAAGGTCGGGTCCATTCAAAATGTGGACTGAAATGGTCCTACTGTATCAACCCCTAATGTTACAGAAATATGGCACATTAGTGGAATAATAACTGGAAAATCCTATCCCAATGCCACTTTTCCCATCACATATTCCACATGGACTAATCTGAGACTGAACTTCAGCATCTGCAGTGCCAAACTGGCAGCTAAACTACTTGACTATGGCACAACCAATGTTATGTTACTACTGACTGAAGAAATGTTCTGTCTACAGCATGGAAGCATATCAGTGCTAGTGACACGGCATTCGATCATGTAACATGCAACTCTGTAGCACAGAACAAGGAAGACATCCAACAGAGTGCTCCTCATATGTGTTTCTCTTTAATATGCAACAATTCATATGCACAGCAGATGAGTGAGACTTGAGGTTTCCATGGCAGTGAGGATTAATAAAGTGGTCTGGGTTTTGGCCCACATGCATGCATGAGTGTGTGCGTGGGAATGCGTGTGTGGAGAGAAGTAATGCATGTCAACATCAATGGTTATTTGTACCTAAATAACATTCAAGCAGAAAAATCAATTACACAACCTGGGATAAATGTAACCTAATTCTGAATTTGTTGGACTGAAAACAGGACTGACAATACAGACTGGTGGTGAGAATCTGAGAGCTAACAAACAAAAACAGTGATGTACGTAACATATCTTCAACGTATCATTTTATGTCAAAATAGTTAATGCACAGCAGTATATGTAAGGTATTCTAAACACCTTCCTTAAGTAACTGACTGAAGAAATGCAGGACAGTGCACTACCCTTCTTCACATGTGTGGTCTGTAGACTGCTGGATGAATGAGCAATCAGTCTATAACTACAGTCACTGTAATCTTCAGATCCGAACACATGAAACTGTTAAATCGCATGTCTGGGGATGCGTCAAGCAAATTTCACAGGAAACAGTCCACACATTTAGGTGGCTTTACATAGCAAAATTAAAAAAGTTTCAGTAGAAACCATGAAAAATGAACTTCCAACATGTGTCAAAGTTAATGTTGCTATGAAATGTGAGAGAACCTCCATAGGTCAAATTTTGGTGGGGGGCACCAACTAACCCGACTAAGGTTTTCAGTTATTTTCTTCAGTCCCTCCAGGAAAACACCAGGATAGTACCTCATATTAGGTCACAAACCATTATCTTCCAAATCATTTCCAATTCATTATTCACAGTCCGCATTACTGTCAGCATCATTAAATAAACTACAAAAAAAAAAAAATATCACAACAAAAAACATATGAAGCATGTGATGTTATCTGGGAAATTTGGGTAAGTCTGATTTTAAATTTGTTTCATCTGGCCAGCTCAACCATTTGGATGGAGCTCTAAAATGACCACACTGTAAATTATTCCAAACTCTTGCCAATATGTACAGTAGCTCAACTGTTAAAGCATTACACCAGGTACTGCGGAAATTTTTTGGATGGGATTTGAATCCTAACCTTCCAGCTCTTTCTTTTAATTACATAAGCATACTTTAATTCTATTTATTAGTTCCTTCTTTAAAGTTTTAGCTACTATATATGGAGTCTCTTATCATTACATGCCATACTCACAGGATGGTTTCTGGACATCAAAATTAAAGTTTAAAAAAAGTCTGTAAGAATACATGCCCTGAGGACCATCCTTAAAAAGTTACAGCTATTCCAATTTCAATTTCCATGGTCATACCTTAAATATTTCTTCAGTTTATCAAGTTGTGTATAAGAAAAAACAAACAAAAGAGCTCTTAATATCCTCTTTATCCTAACTTCTTTGCAAGAAGTGCTTGAAAAGGCCTCCATGTTCACAGATACACAACTCAGCTCTGCATGAAAAGAATCTCACAAGCATTCAAGATTTTTATTTCACTGCAATTGTTGAATGTGATGCTAAAGTTCTCTCAGGCTTAGACCCTGGTTTTCGGATATTCCCAAAGAAAAAACTGAGAGGATTTTCAAGACAGTGGGCATGCAGGCAAGGAAATTTGAGTTCCACATCTGTGATCAATCCAGGACATTATCTACCCAGCCACTAATGTACTTCACAACTGTAATGTGACGGAGCACAGGCATGTTGAAACCATATGTGAAGACGTATACTAATGGATACAGCAATCCACTTAACAAGGTTGGAACAAAATTAAAGTAACTGCAGCCAATAAAATGTGACAGCCCAGAAGGCAGTCATCTAAAATTCAAGGCCACAGGCTGATGGCAAACTGTTGCTGCTGATGGTGATAATCGATCATGTAAGGATTTTCATCTGACCATACATGTTCATTGTAAATGTTGCAAGGCGTCTAGTACTGATGCCACACTATCCTGTGACCTCATCTGTACATTACACACAACACTCATAGTATAGACACACAACACAACAGGAAGAGCCACCCAGCATCATGGAATACACGAGTGAATAAATGGGGCTACACATCAAATATCAGAACCACAAAACAGAAGCACAGCAGTTTCCACAAACAATTTTTAAACACATAATGATCACCAATGTTGGTCAAAACATGTTGTGCAATGTACAGGAGCTTTTAAATATGCCTTCCAGCAGTGTGCAGTGGTCATACAGTGCCCAAATAATGACACCTCATCAGCTGTATGAATGCGCTCAGTCCAGTATACACAACCTCAGTTTTGATTTTGTGACAGAAAATGTACATAACGAAGAAGAGGGTCTGCTATTAAGTTATTTGCAGGAGTTGAAACTGAATGTGTAACTTGGCAGCTTCATGTATTTATGCTGGTAAAAAAATGCATACCTAACACAAAAGTTTACTCTGCTACTAACTATGCAGAGAAATCTGTGACTAGCATTCTAAAAGACATGTCTAAGTTGAAAGACCTCACAGAATTTTTTTACATGTATGTATGATAATTTCTGGTGGTTATGATGTGTACTATCTGTCAGTGAGGAATCAAATGACACAAAAATAAGTTTTCTCCATCCTTGTGGACTCTGTGCATCATACATATATCCAGCTATTCCAGATATTCTGCTGGTCACGGTAACTGAGCAGTCTAAGGCATCACTGTCTTCGCTCGCTCGGAAGCCGGGATCGTGGGTTCCAAACCCGCTCAGGGCATGGATGTTTAGTGTTTGTATGTGAGTGTACATGTGTGTGTGTGTGCACGTGCATTTTTCTGTTTGTGTACAGGTAGAGTCCTTGCGACAAGCTGATCACCCGCCCAAGGCGTCCTACCAAATGTCTAAGATCTAGTAAAACAAAGTGAAATGGAGTTTCATGGAGTTAGGCCAGGCCCAAATTGGGGCTGTACCGCCAAAGGAAAAAAAATCCAGATGTTCTGTAGCCTCCCCAATCAGCAATTCTTATAGCACTTGCTCCTAACACTGCAACCAAACTCGTATCAGACAGAAGTATGTAACTTCCACTAATCAAAATGAAAGAACTTTGTGCTTCTCATACTTAATGCCTTTTTATTGCCTTTTATATAAGCAACTTTCTTTATCTTACTATATAAATGGCAATATTCCTCAAGATATATACATGCTTAATTTACATTACTTAAATTAAAAAATGTAAATAATTTTAAAATAAACAGTTGCTTTAAGTTCCGTTATCAATGCAAGTGACGTGACTCATCGCAGTAAAATGCTTCACAAAACCTTACCCCACTGCAATCTGAACTTCATATTTGCAGATGTTTTAAATAAGAGTTCCATATGCACACAATATTTTTTAAAAATTAAAATTCTGCATTCTGAGAGATATAACGTCAAAGATCAAATCTGAGGACATTTAAAATTACAGCTGTGCTTAATATACTGGTGTATCAGATCACTCACAAGGGCATTTTATTAATTATGAAATTAGCACAAAATGGGCTGCTATGTACCAATTAGGGTAGATGTTACACAATTTTTTTTATGATAATTCATGCCCCAAAAATAAGTTTTTTGAAAATTTGGATGTCTACTCTAAAAATTACAGTGGCCATACAGCAGTAATGTGTGGCTTAAATAATTATTGCCATAGGCAAGTACAATTTCAGCAAAGAAAACCATGTAATTCTGATGGGATCCAGTTAGAAATGCCTCTTTTCTGTGTTGATTTGATGTGGAATGACCCATAACTCTCTCTAACCTCACAGGGAACAATATGATAAAAATCATATTCTTTTATAGAATTTATTTATGTGATAAAAACACATTTAATGTAACTGAGTAATGTCATTGTGCTTATGACCCGGTACAGGGAAACCAAGGTTCACTGTAATAACTAAAATACATCGCTCACTTGTAATGGAAGCAGAATACTCAATGCCACTAATACTAATGCCTGCCACTGGACATAATCATGAACATCCTCACAAACCTTTCCCCTACGATCCAGCTTGCTATTTCCAATGCGCTTCAGAAATGTTTCACAAATTTTTCAAAACATGGAATATCTGTGCACAACCCTAAAGAATTTGTATTCATACATTAAACTTGAAATATTTCCATATACAGTTACAATTTGTTATGAATTACACAAACTGAAAGCGGTGAGCTGGGGTAGCACAGTAGCAATATGTCATAACTTAAAATAATGATAACTACATCAATATTTTGGGAGCTACATACACCCAAATGCTCATGCCACTGTGCAAGGAATCCAAACAAAGAAAATCTACACAATTATGTTTAAATAAAGAGACAGCAGCCCCCAAACAAAATACTGAAAAAATGAATTAAACTTTAACTAGACTTTACTGAATCTTTACCGCTTTTAATACATTAAGTTAGGACATATCACATTCATATGTGATAGAAGTAGTGAGATACACCACACAGTGAAACAGTTTTTGGCAAAAGAACACCTGATGATGGCCATATATGGCTGAAAAGTTGTTAAAGTGAAGAGACGGGGAAAATAAGTTGCATTGTGAACAGAGGTACAGTTTGTGAAGATGCAACAGGATGCTTAAATACAATATAACTGAAAACATACTTCAGTAACAAACGTGAGCTGTGAAATAGATAACAAGCAATATTTCTGCATTGCAATGCCCATGTCAAAAATAAATGATTAACACTAATCCAAGACAGAAACCTAATGTTAAGTAATTTCATTAGGTATGAATCAGACAGCTCAGTACAATACACAGCATTCTCATAAAACTACATAAAGAACAAATTTGGATAATGAAGATGAGATTGTAATGGATCAATATTTTTGTACTCTTTGGGCTTCAAGATTAATAAAAAAATTACTGCACGTTATGTTTGGATCAATATCTTGGAGTCACTGAAAATAACTACACATAACCTTTACAGAATAAATTTTGGTTGAATGAAAAAAAAACTTTCAATTTCAACTTTGTTACATTGGCAATTGTTATACAACAATATGGATTAATTTCTTATTCTTATTTTGTCACAACTGTTTTATAGTTTTAACCCATACATAGCTTATAAACAGTACTCCACTGTTAAAAAAGCATGGTTCTTCATCAACTATGCTCATATACAGAATATACCTACATTACATACGTACATATGCGGGCTTAACCTTGTATCTCAAATGACTGACATCTCTCACAACGTAATGTAGGTGTTTTGAATACCTGCCATGTTTACTTATACACTTTGCGGGGCCGATAAACGAAAACATAATATTTTTTCACGAAAACAAGTGGATTTATGATCACTTCGTAAGTACTGTTTACACTACCTACTCACAATTTAAGGGCTTGTGATTCTGTTCCAGATGGGTCTTGAGCTTCCATACTAGCTCCCAGGAGCGTGGCTGTTTCTCTAAATAATGTAGCTACCTGCATTGAGAGATATGTCCGTATAATCTTTCTAAATTCAGTACTTCACTGCTTCAAAACAGCTTATTTCTGAAGAACATAACAACCCTGCTGCATAATGGCCGTCCATTTAAATATGGCTAACCAAACGAGCATCGAAACCTCACCCTTTCAAAATAGTGAGCTCTTCTGCGATTGGTTAGCCGTTTCGAAGCTCAAAAATCAATATGTGCTATATTCCGCTTTTGGACTATTGCCTTACAGGCTTTATAAATAATCATTGGCGAAATTGTTTACTGTATTTTCCTCCATACTTAATGCAAATAAGTTAAAAAACTGATACAAACTAACATCTACACAACGTACAACTACGGTTATATTCTTGTATTCAAGTAATGTGGCAACTTGATTTGCCTTGTAACAATGCGAAGAACTGCCCATGAGGATTACAGGTCCGTACGAACGTGAGAAGTTCAGCGCGGTAAGACTGTGTCTCTGAATAATATGGAACGCTCCTTATTACACATAGTGGCCCCTGGAACCTCACGATTAGTGCTGTTTCGTAGTATAAGCGTAAAAAGAATATACAATTGACTGCACAACACATTAAGAAGCGCCGTACAACACAACTTAAGGTCTAGCGACGTTGTGCTCTGTTAAGCAGAATACACTAGGTTCCCCGTGCACGCTCCCAACCCTCAATGTTGGCAACGGATTGCCTATAACATGGCTTCAAAAAGTCTCCGAAATTAACGGTTCGGTTATTTCAATTCAGTGTTCACAATGCATTTCTCTCCATAATGCAACAATTATTATAGTTTAAAAAACATATCCTTACTGGTTCCATCTGTCTCACAACCGAAGAAGTGGTGAACAGTGATGAATAATTCTGATAATTCCAAGGACGGAGTTGTAGGAATGATCCCCGTATCTTTTATGGACGATATGTGGAAGAATGTATTTTCCGTTCGACAAAGAACACCGCAAAAGAAATGATTGTAAGACATCTTCCTCTACTTCAAGTTTATAAGCCTATTAGACTGATCCGACCGAAGGAGAGCTAATGTTAAATATGACTCTGTACTGTCCGCCGACATACGGCTATCTTTAAAGCGGTTGAGCCACTCTTTAATTTGAGTGACCCTCATTGCATCATCATCGAAAGCCTGCTGAATTTTGCGGATTGTTTCCGCTTGGGCATCTTCAAGTTTCTGAGAAAACTTGTTGCAGTATCGCTGGTCCAAGCGTTCCGTCATCTTGAGCATCTTGAGGATCTTGAGAGAAACGAGAATGGGACGAACACGCGTTACACCACTTCGTTATCTGGCAGCAAAAATTCACGCATGCGTATGACAGTCCCTTCTACCACTACGCTCAGTTTCCTCACCCCTTTGGCCATTACTTAAGGTTCGGCCACACAGAGCGCTACGCTATGTACGCTACGTACGCTGTGTACACTCTGCGACGCACGTAACATAGGGAACATAGCGCACGTAGCGTACGGAAGTCTGTGTGGCCAGTCACATTGGCAATAAAGGGAGATATTTTTCTGTTCGTATAGCGAACATAGCGTACGTAGCGCTCTGTGTGGCCAAACCTTTACAGTGGCAAAAAATTAAGTCGGATACTTTTTGGACAGCGGTGTACGTGTACGAGTATATTGACGATATTTCAAATAGAAGGCTTTATTTCCTATGTGTACAGTAATTTTAAATGCGAAGGTAATTAAGTCTGTTTATCTGTAGTTTATCTAATTGAAATTGGAAGGTGCTATGGCATGGAAATGAATGTGGAGAAAACAAAAGTAATGAAAATTTCGAGACAACCAACCCCAGTCACAATAAAGATAGACCAAAAACAACTGGAGAATGTGAAATGTTTTAAATATTTGGGTAGCTTGTTAACAGATGATGGAAGGTGTACTTGTGAAATTAAATCCAGGATTGCCATGGCAAAAGCTGCATTTAGCAAGAAGAAGAATCTTTTTACCAGCAAATTGGACTTAAATTTGAGGAAGAAACTAGTGAAATGCTACATTTGGAGCATAGCTCTGTATGGGGCTGAAACATGGACACTTAGGGCAGTAGATCAGAAATATCTGGAAAGTTTCGAAATGTGGTGTTGGAGAAGGATGGAGAAGATCAGTTGGACCGATTATGTGAGAAATGAAGAAGTGTTAATTAGAGTCAGTGAGCAGAGGAATATTCTACACGAAATAAGAAAACGGAAGGCTAATTGGATTGGTCATGTTTTATGCAGAAACTGCCTTCTAAAAGAAGTTATCGAAGGAAAGATAGAGGGGCGGATAGAAGTGACAAGAAGACGAGGAAGAAGACATAAGAGGATGCTGGATGACCTTGGGGACAGAAGAGGATACTGTCATTTGAAGGAGAAAGCTCTAGATCGCATTAAGTGGAGGAATTGTTTTGGAAGAGACTGTGGACCTGTCGCCTGACAGATTACTGATGATGATGATGATGATGATGATGATGATGATGATGATGATGATGATGATGATCTGTAGTTACGACCTGTAAGTTGTCAAATCCAATATCCAATCTAAAACCAGGTCGTTAATGACCCCTACACGTGATAATATAAACATTCCTATGCATAACATTCATTAATATTTCCCAGCGTTGATTTTGGAGACGATGCAATTTTTCCTTTATACAGAACAACGATTGATTCTTTCCTCTAAATCAGTTAATTTGTGATATATCAAAAGATAACTTACGGGACTGAGGGGAGCGAGATGACTATACTGGGAAAGTTTCATGTTCTTTTTTGCAATGGCTCTTCCAGCGCATTCAGGGCCCAAGCTTCTTAATCACTTCCATGACCAATTTTCTTAGACGGCTGAAGTCCTTGGGCAAGTGATCAGCCCGTCGCAAGGCCGCTACCTAAACAGAGGACAAGACAAACACAGAATAAAATCATAGACACACCGAACATCCATACCTTATATGGGATTAGAACCCACGATCCCAGCGTCCGAGCGGGCGAGAAAGTTCATGCCTTAGGTAGGCCGCACACCGGCATACGTCAAGACATGTAACAGTCAAGACACGATGTCTGTGACATGGCGCAAAGAAAGAAGCACAGTTGAAACGAATGAGATTATGAAAATTGCCGCACAACGGTCTGAGTCATGATGCTGACGTCAGCTTTATGCTGACGAATCACGAATGAAGCAAGACTGCGTCTATTGTCTCATGTCTTCTTCACGCAGTTGGTGTGCGGCCGCCCTGAGACCGCGCGACTGCTGTGGCCGAAGGGAAGGTAATATTCATAGGGCCGAAATCTGACCCGGAAGAACATGAATGAGACAGTGATCGGGGTTATTAAGAAAGTGACCACATTTTCCCTGGCATTTTCTGGGACTAGCCATTCTGAATTCACTTTGCGGAGCCAGAGAAAGTAGTTTGTATTTAACGGTATATAATACCTTTGTCATGCGGAATGTTTTCTTTCAAACGCAAACCATTCACTTCCTTCTTTGACAGAAGACAGCGTAAATAATTGTATTCATCAAAAAGTTCGTCAGGATTGACAATTAAAACTTCACACTCTGAGAACAGCAGATCGATTACACCGTCAAAATTTTCCCTTATACTCACCATATCCTAAAGAAAGCAGCTGAACATCGATAGATTTTCATTGTTTTCATTCCATGCCCCCAAATAAGATAACGCAGTACCGAAAAAAATCTTTTGACGTTCTGAAATACCTTTGCATTGTTAATTCACAATCTTGTACGGTATCACATAGCAACTTCTTCACCATGTTCGGGATAAAAAGTTCGTCGAGTAGTGTTTGTAATTTTAACAACATAGTTTTCACAGCTAGTGCTGATTCGGATGCTCACTTGTCATCACCTTAAAAAATGTAATCGCTTCATGATAAATGCAATACTTGGGAATGAGCGAAGCTTAGCCACGGATCTGTCTTGCTGTTAAAAAAAACAGTTTCAATACTTTTGGGAAATGTGTTTCTGACAAAAGACTTCAATGAATAGTACATTGCATAACCGAGTATTTTCTTATACTCTTGCCCGACGAAATCACAGAATCTTTTAGGTGTTCTACAGGAACCGTGTATATGTGAAAATGCCCAAAGATTTTCGTAACAAGTACTTCGATATCTACAGGCATGGAATCAAAAGCTGCCTTAGTGCAGTTATAAATTATATGATCACTTCAGCCAAAATCAATAATGTTTCTGTTTAATTTGAACTTACTTAACATGTGTTCCTTATCCCTTCTGAGCAAACTCCCAAGTTTGTGTTGGTATTACAGGTTGATAACCCTACTGCCCTCGTCTCTAAATGACATATAATTAGCAATTGCTTTCATCACTTGTATAGATATTATATCTGTAGTTTCCCGTGATATTTCTACAGAAGTAAGAATTTTCTTCTTCGCCGAGTTTTACCAATCAAGTGCCTGAAAATAATATACTAAAATGGGAAACTGCTTCATGTGCTTACGGTCAGATACGTCGCAAGCAAAGTAACAAAGTTCACATATTTGGAATCATCTGTCATTTTCCCAAGAGCTTAAGCAGCATAAACGAAGGTAACCATTGATTCGCACTTGAAATCTTTGCAATCAATTAATCTCAACTGATCGGTTACACTGTAGCCCGTCGCTATACCGACTGAGGTATCCCAGTTACCTGCTCTTTTCAAATTTCATTAATTTATTTAACAAAACGGTAACAAAAGCAGTCGGGGACTGTCCCCGAAAATCTAGCACAAATGGTCACTTATCCAGGATGGAACATATTGAATTCGAGAAATGCTATAATTTAGTTTCTAATGCTCTTTCCTCCAGTCATCTTTCTGAAATGGTTATGATTACAGTGTACTCGTAGAAGATTCAATTTCAGGTATTGTATATGGATGTGAAATTTAGCCTTTCAGTCTAACGGAAAAGCATATTCGGAGCATGTTATATTTCAGGCTCTCACATCAGTGACTGAGAAAAATTTCACTAACGTTCCTGATGAACACACTGCCTCCATCTTCAGATTTGAAATGCAAGCCAAACAAGTAGCAAATGACCTTTGCTTGCCACCTGCTTCTTGCTGGATACTTTTCGAACTTGAGGTTGGCGGCAGTAAGTTCTTCCGAAATGTCGATGAACTACCAGATTATATGTCGTTACGACCCACATAGGTAGTACTCTTCATGAACTGATGATTGGAAACAACGTAGTACAAACGACACAGCACGCACGTGAACTACACTACTAACAATAAGAACATAAAACCAAGAGAAATAAACGACATCTCCCACCATCAGGAGGAAAACAACATGACCCAATGTCGGCTCAAGATATTTTAATATAATAACTAATTGTTTACATGGAAATTTTAATACAATTTTAAATATATTGGGAGGCTACTGTATGGAAAAGTGAACATCATATTGCGTGCAGTAAAACCCCAGTCAGGATAACCAGGAAATACACTAAAAGAAACTCATCATAAGTAAATCTAAACTTCAAGAAGCGCCATTGTGACTGCCTAAGATAAACATCAAAATCAACCGTGATTACAAAATTTATATAGAGGGCATTAGTCATATCTAAAGTGCATATTGTTAAAATATCTTATGTGAAATGTTTCCTTATCGTAGTGGTGCGCCTCTGAGGATGATTCTCTTGAATCGAAACATGTAAGGCGAATGAGGACTGAAGTGTTGTAAACTCGTATGTCACACTGGACTGAACTTTTCATTATCTACTCTGTAGAATTTAGAGATGGGTGCCTCTCGGATGATGTGATTTCACTGTTTGCAAGTATAATATTCACACAATTACTTTTTTTTTTAACTAAGTCCCCGCCATATTTCCCACTTTTATTAACCAGGAACCGCTTCCTAATGGGACGATTTATCTTTCCAACTGTTACATTCCAAAGATCACAATGTTCCGAGCGGTTTCGAGCGTTCCGAACGTCGTTTAATGTCCGTAACTGAAAGTACTCGTCAATGTTTTCAAAATGGCGACGTAGGGTTGTATATGTACGTTTTGATGGCGACTGTTTAGAAACAGAATGTGTTGTTTTTGGGGTTTCTCAGCGTGAGAGAACCTCAAACTTTGAATCTCGCAAGATGAAATTCGTATCTGATTCGTTTAGACGGTAACTGGGATGTGTGAGGAAGTTACGGTGGCGGAACTTGTACAAATGGGGAATGCCTAGTGCAACTGTAGGAAACCAATTTTCATCTGATATGCCGTTATCACGCACACGTTCCTTGCTGGCCAACATTAATGGGGCACCATCGAACACCCCGAGTGAGACATACCTGTCTCACATTAAGGAAAATAGTAACCATCTGCCACCACTGAAGACTGGCCAGGAACTGCTTGCCCTCCAAGTCTCAACTTTACAAATACCAAATCAGCCTAGTACTGTGAATCAGTCTCTGCCTTTAGTCAATTCTGTTGCTTCTGATGGAACGAACAGTCCAGTTCAAAATAAAAATGGTTCAACAAAACCAAAGACCATGGTTGCTACTCCTGACCAAGTAATGAAATTGTATATGAACAAGCTCACTCCTTATGAACAACATGAAATTTTCAGCTACCCTCAAATTTATTTTATTGGTGCCAATGCGAAAAAGAGGCCTGGAATAATAGGGACTCCAAACAACTGTGGTTATGACAATGAACAAGGCTCGTATGTTCATATACCGCACGATCACGTAGCATACAGATATGAAGTTTTAAAAGTGATTGGAAAAGGGAGTTTTGGACAGGTAGTAAAGGCATATGATCACAAAAACCATGAACATGTAGCTCTGAAAATGGTGCGGAATGAGAAGAGGTTTCACAGACAGGCACAGGAAGAAATTCGAATTTTAGAACATCTACGAAAACAAGATAAGGATAATACAATGAACATCATTCATATGTATGATAGTTTCACATTCCGAAATCATATGTGCATAACTTTTGAATTGCTATCAATAAACCTGTATGAACTAATTAAGAAGAACAAATTTCAAGGTTTTAGTCTCCAATTAGTGCGAAAATTTTCCCACTCACTCTTGCAATGCTTGGATGCCCTGTACAAGAATAAAATTATTCACTGTGACATGAAACCCGAGAATGTCTTGCTCAAGCAACAGGGCAGGAGTGGCATAAAGGTATGTATTGTTTCATAGAGAAGTTGTGTAATGAAAGTAGTAGTTTTAATTTTCATAAGTGCAATATTATTGAATGTTTGAATACTAACAGATGGACAGTGAAACACAATGCAACATTGGCTTGGGTAGGATGGTAATATTTTTGCTGCTCATATAAGGATGAAGACTTATCGCAGACAAGCAGAATAAAATAGTAGATACATACAAGAATGAATATAAAGATTGTTAAAATGTCATTAAGAGAGACAGTTTCATTCAAGTTGGATGTGGGGGTTTCTTCTGTATTGGACTATTTGTACAAGGAATTAATTTATGAGAGATATGACTTACATATATTCATCTGAAATTGAAGTGTCAGGGACATGGAATTTTGTAGTGATATGCTTCTTACATTGATGATGGCAGAATATGAGGTATGTTCTTTAAGAGAAGTACCATATATTACCTACAGTAACATTTTTATATCTGAACAGATTTTACCATTTTATAGTAGTATAAGCAATGGAAAATTTAGAGTTTACAAAGGACTACATATGGCTGTGTTATACGCTTACACAGGAGTATCAGTTAATTTCAGAAAGACTAGTATACTCGAGGTATTTAGGTGACTTAGAGAAAGTTGTGTGTTAATTTTGCCTTGTAAGGATGCAAGCATTCAGCCCAAGAAGAAAGTAACATTCAATTAAAGAGTTACATCTTCCAGAATATAAATCTGTGTAGTCCAGTGAAAGTAAACCAATGTTTTAAAGAATGTATGGCCTCCATCTTTAGAATTGAAGAGCATGCCAAGCAAGAAACCAGCATGAAGCAGGCAGAAAACACCGGATGACTTTCAGCAGACTACACAGAGTTATATCCCAGAAGGCAGAACTCTAAATAAACGTAGGATGATGGATAGTGTCCAAAAAGTCAGTCATTGTACAGAAATGAATCTTTAGGTTCCACAAAAGACATGGAATTTCTTCACCAGTTGAGTGAACATTAAGTTCTCAGGGAGGATTGATGCATGGAACAGTTATAGGTGTGGCAACTTGATGAATGTAACAGAAAATGGATTAAATTTACAACTTCAAAATTGTTCCTTATTGGATGATATGCTCACTGTTGCACATTTCAAGCAAGACTGATGGTATGTTTGGAAGGGAAGAATTAAATTAAAAAGTTGGGATCAAAGAAACCATAGCCTCAGTGTGGAAAAGAAATAACAAGCTAAAAAGTACGTACATTTACTTTAAGAGTGATAGCATAAGAATAAAATCTGCAATTTATTCTGAAATAATATGCTAATTTATGGAATTGTAATTCCTATATAAGTTCCATTAGATTTTCTAGTTATATGAGATTGGGGAATTTAAATTTGTGTAATTGATAATGTTGGAGTATAATTTAGACATTAACATTATTAATGTTTCTAGTGTTCTTCCTTCCAAACTCAACCCAGTTGCAATTATCTGTCTGTCCACTGATTCCTTCATTAAATTAAGTAGCTTAGACCATACCGCTACATCATAGTGGCAACACCAATATAGTGAGCAGCGTGCATGTATTCCACTCACATACTGGAGGAAATCACTGTTTTGATATTATTGACTTGGGATCACTGAAATTGAACATAAAAAAAAGTAAGATATGAACATACAAGAATATACCATGACACAACGACATTCTGTACTACTGTAGCTACTAAGCTCCTCCTAAGCTACAAGTAGCTTAGACCGTAACGCTACATCATAGCGACAACACCAATATAGTGAGCAGCTTGCATGTATTCCACTCCCAAGAATAGAACAACTTAATGCACATCACGTCACTGAATTATGAGCTTAAGTTCAAGACAGTATTAAGGTCGTGCTATGACCTACCCCACAGGAGAAGATTCCGTTATGCGGGCGCCCTATGGTATAGTCCCTTCCGCTAGCAAATATGAGTAAACACGTAGCCGTCGCAGAGTCCTACAATTAATACACAATTTTTAATTTTTTTTTTTATAGTCTTAATCTTCAGCATCTGGTTCTTTAATTTCTCATGTTTTTAACTTTAACTCTTTAGGTTATAATTTTCATTGTATTATTTAAGTACATTCAGTTAAAATTTTGACCAAGACTTATTTTATGTATATTTATGTATTTGAATCAAGTCTAAAAACACAATAAGGATCCTTAATTAGTGAACTGAATGATAACTGGATGCAGTTCAGAAGCTTAAAGCCAAACACTCTATGCCTGATATAGGGGCCAAAACATGTCACATCCATAAAAAGCTTTAATAAATAAAATGTTGATACAGTATTGTCTTCTTTGTTTTCAAATACAGAGTGTTGTTGTGTAGATGGTATATTCTTGTATTCTTTGTATCTTAAGTCAAATTCCATTTAATTCTGAGAAGCATGGCACTTGGAATGGAAAATATGTGCAGTGTGGGTAACCTGCTCCCTGAACAATGGACCAACTCACAACATGTTAACACTTCACTCTGCTCCTATGAACCAAAAACACAGAAACAAATTTCTGTATTGTAATGTCATGTTGAATGAAGGATTGGTATTGTATAGAGCAAGCAGTAAGAAATACTATATAGAGGAACTTTCTTGCTTCAGAATCATATTGAATTTCAACAGTGTTCCTGTCATATTGCAGCAAGTTTCTATACTAACTTCAGATCCATCAGCCTGTAACTTAATGATAGTGATAAGAAACTGACATACAATTTTGATGTTACATCTGATGTAACAATTTTGATACAAGGAGACCTTACATAGTCTTCAAAAGCTACCATGCTACATTCAACACAATACTTATAATACATAACATTAGCTAAGGAACAAACTTCCAACAAGCTTCACTTTAAATACATTCATGGCTTATTTATATGAAGTCAGCACTGCCTGGTGCTGCATGTACTTTTAAAACAGACACTACAACTGGCTGATTCACTTGTACATTATTTTTTTTAGTTTACTATTTTTTTTTGTGAACTACCTAAATGGATTTTGTGTCAAGATTTGAATCATCCAGTGACATATTTTCAGTGCAACAACAACTGATCTTACGTAATCAAGTTATCATTTTTGTTTTTATTCTCACTAACTTATATTTCTTAAGAATAATGCAGCTATTGTTGTAGCATATGCCTGAAGTCTGGCAAGTGCATGTCATATGTGGTAACATTGTAAAAAATATTATGGGACTGAAAAAATATAAAGCAAACTTCATTGGATATCTGAAGAAGACACGACAATTCCCAACAAAGTTTTGCCCTTTAATCACATATTCATGAAGCACATGATTCTCATACAGAATTAAACACAGTCCAACTGCTGATTTGTTCAAAGACTGGATTTCTATTTAACTTCATTAATATATTTTCACATAAGTGATTTGATTTTTTTTCGTTACAGCATTCCACTATTCTTCACAAAGAAGAAGTGCAGTTTGTCAAAATTTCAGCCCATTAAATAACTGTATACAAGTATTGTAAATAAAATGCACAGCAAACACTCAGATATTAGCAGTACAGATAAAAATATAAGACAGTGTAATCATTGTCCTCACTTTGAAACTCAACCTCACATTCTGTGTATGAGATGTAAACATCACTGAGGTTCACATCACTGTTATTAGTTGGTTATGGAATTATAAACAGCTCTCAACTAACACTTACATTGATGTTCCAGGTAATTGATTTTGGGTCCAGTTGTTATGAACATCAGCGTGTTTACACTTACATCCAGTCCCGGTTTTACCGTGCTCCAGAAGTCATACTGGGAGCACATTACGGTATGCCCATTGATATGTGGAGTTTAGGATGTATTTTGGCGGAACTACTTACGGGTTTCCCACTACTGCCAGGTGAAGATGAAGGGGACCAGCTAGCCTGCATCATAGAGTTGCTGGGTATGCCACCTCAGAAACTTTTGGAAGTATCGAAGCGTTCAAAGAACTTCATTAGTTCCAAAGGATATCCACGATATTGCACTGCTACAACTCTTCCCGATGGGACAACAGTGTTGGGTGGAGGACTTTCTCGAAGAGGCAAAACCCGGGGTCCTCCAGGTTCCAAAGAGCTTAAACGGGCTCTTAAAGGCTGTGATGACCCTCTGTTTTTGGACTTTATCCGAAGGTGTTTAGAATGGGATCCAGATGCAAGGATGACACCTGCTGCTGCCCTACGGCATGCTTGGCTAAGGAGACGACTCCCAAGGCCCCCTGCAGACAAAAATGACACTCAGTCTTCTGGTCTTCGAACATCATCATCATCATCCAGAAATTCAAGCAAAACTACCACCATTGGAAGTGGTGGTTTAAGCACCAATAAACTTAGAGTTCAGCTTTCTGATGATAGAGCAAGCACCGTTCATTCACGTCACTCTCATCACTCAACAAAATTACCTCAGATCCCCACCAACACATAACCACTTGCTCTGCTTCCAAATGTGTTTAATCATGCCATGTTGTAAAGTGTTTTGAAGGGTGAAAGGTTTGGTTGAATTTGATCAGAGGTGGCCAGACTGTTGCTTCCAGAAAATTTATACATAGATAAAATTTGGTGATTACATTACTGTCTCACTTTTGCACAATTTAAAATATAACAGTGTTTTTTCATCCAAAATTTGTATTTATACAATTTCATGGCAATGAATTTTGCCCATTATATTGACTGAAAATTTTTTGTTTGTGTAAATAAGTATATACATGTAATTTTTGAGTGAATGGGTTTATGTTAACCATTGTTAAAATCATTAACGATAGACATCTAAGAGTCACATGTTATCCAGTACACTGTTCAGAGGTTGTGAACTGTTGAGCAGCTGATGGAATGAAACTGTGATAACAAAAAATTGTGGAAAGTTGTTGTATATGAATATACATCATCCCATGGAAGTTAACATTCTCACATCACAGTAATCTTCATATAGTACCCTGCTAGTAATCAAGCCCATTTCAGGAACCAAGTCATTAGTACTGCCACTTGCCAATTGTCATGGTCACAAGGGTTGACATAGAGACCTTTACCTTTTTTAATTTTGTGATAATTTTTACTGATTACATTTCCCACTCATCTGGTTGCTGTCATCAAGATGACAGAGCCCATTTGGAATAAATGCATATACATCTCACTGTGTATTAAAATGTTACATGACATTTCACTTGCATGACATTGATGGTGCAGCTGGAGCATGCACTGTCCAGAAGAATGTCCTATCATTTCCTAATGACCCAATTTATGTACAAAGACAGTACACGCTAGTTTCTTATCTAATATACAAAATAAATGAGATCTTAGAAGGCATTTCACCAGGCAGCATTATATCTTTCATTCCATTTTGATTAGTTAACTCCAAAAAAAGACATTTAAATCTCATTCTGCGGTGTTTCAGTGCTCCATATCCAAGCAGTCTTCCTTCATCTAGGAGACCACCAGAATGACATCTCAGGATTGGCCTTGTCTCATTAACCACCAACCTGTTTCACCATTCTTGTTTATACTGTGGTCCATTCCCAGGCCTGTAAACCTCGTATCAGGTTGGGTGTGGAATTTCAAGGGGGAAACAACAAACAAAATATTTTCTTTTGATAAACCTTTCGGAAGGGATGAAGGAAGTAGTGTTCATCCGTCTTACATCTCTTAAAGCTTTACGTGAAGAATTCTGCCTTCTTGCATACTTTATTATATACCCAATTATATCCAGTCCAAAACCCTGCCAGTAGTGCCACTTTTCACCTGGCAGCATTGTGTTTCAAAATTTCTCCTTCCATATCTTTAATGTTCTCTTTTTATAACACTATTATATCCTTGAAGTCAGCAGTTTTCTTCCTTAGTGAACAGAAGAGTGGGCTTTCAGTAAAACACAATATTGTTATGTAATTTTAATGTGCTCTTTGGACTGCAGAAAGTGTGGGTGGATGTATGTTTACATATTGACACATCTTGGACAAAAGAAGTGGGCATCTCTGTTTCCTATATTACACTTAATTGCTGTGTGGAATATGTACTGTACATATTCTTACAGAAGGAACATAAACCATCCGTTTGACATGAAAACAGCTTATAGGTCATTTCTGATGTTATATTCCATAAAGTCTGGAATGGGGGGGGGGAATGGTAAATTTTGTTTATTTAATTTTTATTTAGTGATGCTGTTGATAACTTAGGCTATACTGCATTGAATGGTAGGATAATTAGTGACTGGTGGATTGAAATGGATCCAAAAAGAAATAGTTGTGCCTAAATTGTGTACCGTTCCAGCATTTGTTTTGAAAGGGCTGAACAAAACTATGCAGAACCTCTGTTAGATAGTTGTCTCAGCTGATATTCAAACCAGGCACTTTCCAAATATGTCTGAAGGATTACCATCTGAGCCACCTTGCTTGGTGATTTAGTAATATTAATAACAGGAGTCAATTAACATTTGGAGCTGGTATGTGTACAGAGTTTGCCTGGTATAGGAAGACCCTGACCTGTACATGATGCTAAGACTTGAGTTGCCAGTTGGTTGTGGTAGATGTAAGGAACAACAGCAGTGGGCTTGCAGACATACTGAAATTGTACTAAGGGTGTCACTATGAATCAGATTAATGCCATTTGACCCTTTGTTGCTTCTGTTTTATAAATTTCTATTTCAAATGACCTACTTTTGGCTGCACAAAATTTTGAGAATGGTACAGACCTAATACTTGAGTATGAATACCAGTTTATAAAAATCAGTTGAACACTAATGCATACAATAAGGAGAAGAGCCATACTGTCAGCAGCCTTATGTATTGTAGCATTGTTCAGAGTTACACCAGCGACAGAGATGTGCAGTATTCATGCACAAAGCTCTCATGTGGGCCATGGTTGTGGACTGAATGTATGCTGTAACACATTGCGGACTGGCATGCTCCTTTCTTTATGTCCCACAATTCTCGAATTTTCGTAAGGATGTAAATGCTCCGTCTTTTGAGGCACTCTTTACATAGCCTAAAACTGGGAAAACTGCATACAGACTTCATGAAATAAACTTCTGAGTAGTGGGAGAACATAAAATTTACAAGTACATCTTTTTTCATAATGCTTTCTATGTGAAGCATAAACCCTACACTGTGTTTCATGAAACACCTCTCCAGACACAAGTACTTCTGTTTTTGTTTGTTTGTTTGTAGTCTTGAGAATCTGCCTGGAGAGTTCTGTTTAGGATACTTTTGGTGGTGGTTATTTCTCTGTAAGCTCAGACTCATCAGGCCCAAATTCATTTCTACCCTTCTAAAAATTCACACCTTCCTGACCTCATGCAGAAATGTATGGTTTTACTGTTTTATTCATGTTTAAATTTTTCACAAAATGCGTTAAACATTGCATAGCTCAGATGACTAGAGGACTGGTTTTTCAGACTATTTGGCAGTTGCCCTGAGACCTGAGTAGTACTTCCTGATCTGGCATGTCTGTACCTTAAATTGTCTTCTTATGACCTGTTCAGTTAGAGTTATCAACACTGAAATATTCTTCATTCCAATGGTTGTAACATTGGACCACCTCAATATTTTAGGTGTTACTTTCCATTGTTCTGCATTTTGAGTGTGATTACAATTAGACACTTGTATTATTGTCACCAGTTATTGGACTCCCAGGATTGTCGATGTGTACATTCAAACCTTTTTCCAAGGAAAGGTTCATCACTTGGTCATTCATAAACTGCACCATGTATTACCTTTTTTCATCAACAGAATGAACAGTAGGTGCTGATTAGAACTTTCTTCTATCCCTAAACTCAATGTGGCCTTGTCGCTGACCAGTTATTCAGTGTCACTTGTTTCATTTTCATCAAAAACATATCAACATACAACTTGGACAAAATATCTTTATGTTGAGAAACTTTCCTCTGCTGGTTAATGTTTGATAATGATGAATGCTTCAGATGAAGTTAAAGGAAGAGCTGAAAGTGTGGTAGTTTGTTTTGGACCCTAATTGTATGTAGGGTATGCGATAAAAAGGGGTCTGTGTTTGTTACTGAGAGACATACACCCATTGCCTCAAACTGCTAATAACCTTGGGATGATGAGCAAGCCAAATCAGTATCCATGTACTTCAGGATGACAGATGTTAAGGAAACATAAAATTACATGACATACAAGGAAAGCAAAGTAAGGAATATTATTTGTGGCTTTTTGTGTACTATCCACCTGAGAGTTATGAAAGTCTGGCTGCGCTGTCGAGTAGGTGTTTTCGTATATTATGTGAGCTCATCTTTCTTTCTTATAATTTTTGAGTACTGTTTATACTTTGAATTTTGGTTGTATCTTGATCTTTTCCTTTCTGTTAAAATAATATAATGAATTAAAAATTGTAATAATTTGTGACAGTGGTGTAGTAATGAGTGATAAATTTTCTGGTCATGATCCATCACCCTAATTCTTACTTGAAACAGTGTTTTGGAAACTGGACTCTGTATCCATTCTCAGATGAAATATCTACCCTTTGTTCCACAGGATAAGTTCATGCAGTTATTATGCAGGTGTTGTCATCCAGTTAGGTAAAGCTGTCCCTGTGCTTGAGGAATTAAGCACTACGCCATGAAGGTGTATGGGGAAGTGGATGTATAGATCCACATTTTCTTGACCTGGGCACTAGGTAGAGGTGAGTGGTCAGATTCATGCCCGGCTGTTTTACCCCTGGGAAAGAGCCACTGCTACCCATTGAATAGGTTTTTGGGTGGACCCCAAAGCCAGTCTGGATGACTTGGAGAAGAGAAAATTTTTTACCCTACTGGGACTCAAACTCCAATTCTTCTGCAGTCCAGCACGTAGCCAGTCGCTATACCGACTACACTAGTTAGTTATTAGAGAGGATGGGTTTCCCCATGCACTTAGACCTGTATTGGTCCATTGTGCTTCCCTCTATGATTTCTACCAGTCTCTATATCCTACCAGTACTGGTGCTTACCATCAGTCCCGCCCAGCCAGCGAGACCGGCTCTATTAGCTGAGAGGTATCTATAATGCTTCCCCCATCTACCAGAGGTATTAGAGACTGCTGTTGGGCGGGAAATGTCCATAATTTTGGCTCAGTGACCTCCTTTGGAGATATGAGGTTCTTTTACATGCCGTAAAGCTACGAGACGGGACCCACGGCTTAAAGTCCCTCCCGGAGGACTTGTTCCCTGAATTTTTCTGCCCTTAAAAATTCGACGACCTCCGCCGGCTATTTGAACCCGCGTACTACGAGTCATGAGGTGGGAACATTACCTCTAGACTACGGAGGCCGCTTTACTGACTATACTACCCCACCTCCTTAAGTTATTTTCAATATTTGTTTAACTGTTGTAAAGTTTATATCGGTATGTAAGAAATTTTACTTACTTGAATTCTAATCCTCTGCACTTATTGTGCTTTTTTATGTTTTATTATTTTCTTGTCAAAGCTTTTAAAGGTCAATTGAATATGTCTAGAAAATGAATTTATGTATACAATATACAGTTTTCCTTTTTCTGAATTTGATTTGTTGGTTTCAGCTTCAAGTTTGTGTTGGACTGTAGTTTTTTTAGATTCCAGTTGGAATATTCTGCACAGCCATAGATGCATGATTTCACTTACGCAGTTGATGTGTATTTTTATGGTTTCAGACTTGCTTGCTTTATATATAATGCTCTGCATTGTTGCTTGTGTCCAGAAATAATAACTAGTTCTGTCAGTTGGGCCTAACAAGGTAGGTATTTTTACCTTGTAGGCAGAGTCAAGTCTCTGCAACATCTCAAGCAAAAATTAAGATGATGGATAATAGCATGAAAATTGATCATTGTAAAAAATGTTATGCAAAGATAAATTTTATGTTCTTATTGTAAGGTAGATAAGGAGTTAAATTTTTGATATTATAAAAGGTAGACTCCACTATTATGAAATATTACATAACCTGTTACTAGATGGTACTTTCTCTCCCCACCCCTCACAGTGGAAAATTTGAAACATATGAGATATTTCCACAGTATTAAGTCTACAGTCTTCTGGAATGTGTTTTTGAGTAGTTCGGTAATTGTTTACCTGCCTGCCAAACTATATGACATCACATCCCAGCATGAAATTTCAGTCACACATGATGAATATTTAAAATTTTACATAAGATGTTTTAACTTCTGACTGATGACCATACAAAGATATGTTTATCAAGAAGTTTGGCCACCTCTGCATTTGATGTCTGTCATAGCTATTATTTCATGTGCAAACTGTCACATGGTAGTCATCCACAAGGACCTCAGATTCACAGATCATAAAGTGAAGATATAATGTTAAATAAACAAACTGCAGAATTGTGCTCAAAACAAATACTACCAAGAATAACGGCAATGTGAAAAAATTGATATTTATTCAGAGAAGTTCTAATGTCCTACATGAAATTAACAACTACCACAATATGCCCACTTTTACACCACTCTTTTGGATTATGAACTTAGATTTTTAAGGTTACAAATCAATATGATAATCATATACTGATAGTATGGTCCGTTGACAGTGTTTCTATTTTAAACAGGCCTCTGTTGATCTGCAGTGACTTTGTTATTGCTTTTGTCAGGCACACATAATGCAAACTGTAAAATAATCTCTGGCCATACTACATTTCCATATCAAAAAATTGTAAAAAGTTCAGTTTCTTTTATGGATCTCCACATCCAGAATTCAGCCGTGCAAGTGATTTCTGTTTATACTTGACAGAATTACTTGTCACAGGCAAGGACTGTCTATTGTCCTTAAAGAACTGAAGATATTTGACAGAGGTACCAGCTAACCATTTCTGCACCATAATAGTAATAAGTTTACCATAAAATTTCTGGAACATTGTAAGGAACCAGTTTAAAAACTGAAAATATTAATATTCTGTTTTAAGTGAATGAGCAACTTACATTGTACCCCAATGCAGTGGAATTTCATTAATACAACTTGCAAGGTGCAAAAATAAATATCATATCAATATAAATTTCTAATCAAAGCAGAATTACCGATATACTGTATGACTGAATCACAATGTATGTTTTATTGGCATTCTGATTGATGGTACAGTAAGCTCAAGTACTAAACATAATTATATGGAGATTATGCTGGAATTGTTTTAAATATATGATGATAAATCATGTTGCGCATGATTCAAGCAAATTATTGTATTAAATGTCATGTAAGTTTTTCTTGAAGTTACAAAATAATTTATAGTTTTTTTTCGCACTGCCATCAGTGTACTGGACACTGACATCTCTTATACTGTATAATTACTGAAAACCGTTGTGATTAACAGATTTTTACCTGGTTATCACATATGTTTATTGGCATGTCTGTTAATTTGTAACTGTCTACAATGAAAAGAAGCCTGCTGTTCAAGGATGTGCGCTTGACAGATCATCATTAAAATAAAATGAAATTAACGTGACTGTAGTTTAGGTGTAGAAGTTCAAAGAGCACTGGTGAGAGATGAACTGGGACCACGAAAATGAGAACATTTTGTACTGAGGGTTGTCCAGATGAAGTTTCACTGTATCCCAAAGTCCTCTTTATACGGGGGGAAGCAACAGTGGTGCTATATTAATCTTGGTTGGTCAGTATAAAAAGAGACTCACTGAAATAAACCTGCATATGTATTCATCATAGGTGAACAATAACCATGTTTACTTTTAAAACATTTATTCAGAATTTTAAAATGGAATGCATGACAAGATAAAAATTTGATGTAATTACTGTTTTATGTTTGTATTTTACAATGCGTGAAGGCATGTGGTTGAAGCACTGTGCTACTAGCTGGAAGGTCGCGGGTTCGATTCCCGATGAGGTCATTGGATTTTTCAGTTGACCTAATCCTTCCAGCTGTACTAGGGCCCTGGAGTTAACTCATCCTCTAAGAGAAGTGAGTACCAGGATTCTTTGTGGGGGTAAAGTGCGGCTGGCGCCTAAGGCTGACAACCTCACAGCCATCTGCAAGCCGACTGTGTAGAAAATGTGAGAGCCTCGACATCTCACAACCCTATGGGCCTCCACGGCCTGTTGCAGGGATAGCTTTACCATTTCTTACTTTACAATGCATCAGATTATGCAATGAAATTCTATTGTTCCTGCCTTTATATTAGTTGATCTGTACCTTCGTATCATTGGCATGCAGTGGGTAGTATAATGTTCAAGCGGTGGAAAATATTGCTGCTTTGTGGTAGTAAAAATGAACATAGATTAATTCTATTATGTGACATAGACTTCATTTTTATTATTTTTAAGTACAGAGTCACTGAGATTTTAATTACTGATATGTATATTTATTTTGTAGATTTATTTCTGATTGTGATGAATATGATAATTGTTTCATACTTTATAGTAATTTATTCCTGTGGCATTTCCTTTCTTCCTACAACCAGGATACATATTATCAGGGATAAGAGGTAAAGAGTACATATGATCCTGGCAATATGAGGGTCTTAGATGGCGGATGTGGCTTGATCTGGAGCTCTCTATATGCAGTCTCTCAGTACTGACTGTCAGTAAGTAACATGAAGTCAGCGTTTTGCTAGTCCACAGACCTTTTCAATCAGATGGTCATTTGAAATGAGATCTAATTCAACTCTGCCCCTTCCCATTTTTATTTTAAAAAATGCCAGGATTTTGTGTATTATTATTATTATTATTATTATTATAATTATTATATTATTATTATTGTGATGATCTCAAGTTTGAGTGAAATGAAGACATTGGGTCAAAATATAAGAAACTGCCAACAGCTGTGAAACTGGTAATATGCTGAGACTAAACCAGAGAAAAAAATAATGAAAATATCAGTCACATTTTACAACCGAATTTACATATGAGATTCAATTATTCAAGCCAAGAAGTGTTGACATTTTCTAGTTTTTGATCTCAAGGTTTATTTTTCTGGTTGCATGTTTTGAAGGAAGTGTAATTTTGTTATGTAGTCCCCACAAGTCAGGAGGAAATGAGTGCTACTTACAGATATATTTTCAAGGATTGTCTTCATCCTTTAGCATTTTGCAATCAAGCTCTCATTTTTGTTTTATTATTTGTTCTTTCCTTTTTTTACCGCCTTTTTTTTTTTTTGCGGAAAGTTGCTGTAATTTATATGTTTCAGTCTTAGTGTCCTTCCTCCAAATTGACTGGCATCATGGGTCCCTAATAGTGGTCCTGTTGATGAAAATAAGTAATAATAGTCTGCATCTGTGATATATATTCAATGTGCGCAATAGCCATGACAGTTATTATACATAACTACATAACACATTTGCTGCTGCTTCTTAGATGTCATTAAGTGTGATGGTAATTTTTAGCAAAGGTACATTCATAGGAGTTGAGAGAGCATTTTTTATGTGCATTGGTATGCAGTTGGTATAGTGTTATGTAATAATGTTTGCTTGTTCTGTTGTGAGATTTTGTGCAGTTGTAAATAAATTGCATTTTTATTTCTATATTATTGTGATGAGGATTTCATATGATGAATCACATCTTTCAGTTGGGGTTCTCCACTATATGTGCCATATCAAGTCTCAACCATGTGCTTGTATTTTATTTG